TGTCCTTCCAGCATGACTGTGAACCACTGATAACTACTCTCTGGGAACGGTTTTCCAACCAGTTTTAAATTTTAAATAAAATTTAAATTTTTAAATTTAAAATTTAATTTAAACTACTCTCTGGGAACGGCTTTCCAACCAGTTTTGCACCCACCTTATAGTAGCTCAATCTAAGTTGCATTTCCCTAGTTTGTTTATGAGAAGGTCGTGTGAGATAGTATCAAAAGCTTTACTAAAGTTAAGATATACCACGTCTACCTCTTCCCCCCCATCCACAAGGCGTGTTACCCTTTCAAAGAAAGCTATCAGGTTGGTTTGACAAGATTTGTTTTTGACAAATCCATGCTGACTGTTACTTATCACCTTATTATAGTCTAGATGTGTGCAAATTGATTGCTTAATTATTTGCTCCATTATCTTTCTGGGTACAGAAGTTAGGCTGACTGGTCTGTAATTCCCCAGGTTGTCTTTATTTCCCTTTTTATAGATTGGCACTATATTTGCCCTTTTCCAGTCTTCTGGAATCTCTCCTGTCTTCCATGACTTTTCAAAGATAATCGCTAATGGCTCAGGTATCTCCTCAGTCAGCTCCTTGAGTATTCTAGGGTGCATTTCATCAGGCCTTGGTGACTTGAAGACATCTAACTTGCCTAAGTAATTTTTAACTTGTTCTTTTCCTATTTTTGCCTCTGATCCTACCTCATTTTCACTGACATTCATTATGTTAGATGTCCAATCACCACCAGCCTTCTTGGTGAAAACTGAAACAAAGTCATTAAGCACCTCTGCCATTTCCACTTTTTCTGTTATTTCCCCCCACCCCATTGAGTAATGGGCCTACCCTGTTCTTAGTCTTCTTCTTGGTTCTAATGTACTTGTAGAATGTTTTCTTGTTACCCTTTATGTCTCTAGCTAGTTTGATCTCGTTTTGTGCCTTGGCCTTTCTAATTTTATCCCTACATACTTGTGTTAGTTGTTTCATCCTTTGTAATTTGACCTAGTTTCCACTTTTTGTAGGACTCTCTGTTGATTTTTAGATAATTGAAGAGCTCCTGGGTAAGCCAGAGTGGTCTCATGCCATACTTCCTATCTTTCGTACACAGTGGGATAGTTTGCTCTTGTGCCCTTAATAATGTCTCTTTGAAAAACTGCCAACTGTCTTCAATTGTTTTTTCCCTTAGACTTGCTAACCATGGGATCTTACCTACCAACTCCCTGAGTTTGCTGAAGTCTGCCTCTTGAAATTCATTGTGTTTATTTTGATCTTCCCCCTCCTACCATTCCTAAGGCTATGTCTACAGTACCGCAGTAAGTCGACCTAAGCTATGCAACTCCCACTATGTGAATAAGGTAGCTGGAGTCGACGTAGCTTAGGTCGACTTACTGCAGGGTCCACACTACGCTGGGTTCACGGGACACACTCTCACGTCAACTTACCTTACTGTTCTCGTTCGGGGTAGACTACTGGGGTCGACTGGAGAGCGATCTGCGGTCGATATGGCGGCTCTTCACTAGACCCGCTAAATTGACCCTGGTGCATCGATCCCCAGAGTGTCCATCTGGGGGGGTAGTGTAGACATAGCCTTAGAAACATGAACTCTACCATTTCATGATCACTTCCACCCAAACTGTCTTCCACTTTCAAATTCTCAACTAGTTCCTCCCTATTTGTCAAAATGAAATCTAGAACAACCTCTCTCCTAGTAGCTTTCTCCACCTTCTGAAATAAAAAATTGTCTCCAATACATTCCAAGAACTTGTTGGATCTGTGCCTTGCTGTGTTATTTTCCCAACAGCTGTCTGAGTAGTTGAAGTCCCCCATCACCACCAAGTCCTATGCTTTGGATGATTTCGTTATTTGCTTAAAAAAAGCCTCATACAACTCTTCTTCCTGGTTAGGTGGTCTGTAGTAGACCCCTCCCATGACATCACCCTTGTTTTTTTACCCCTTTTATCCTTACCAAGAGACTTTCAACAAGGCTGTCTCCTATTTCCATTTCAACCTCAGTCCAAGTGTATACATTTTTAATATATAAGGTAACACCTCCTCCCTTTTTTCCCTGCCTGTCCTTCCTGAGCAAGCTGTATCCTTCTATACCAATATTCCAGTCATGTGTATTATTCTGTGATGCCAACTGTCATAGTTCTGTTTTATTTACTAGCATTTCGAGTTCTTCTTGCTTATTCCCCATACTTCTTGCATTAGTATCTAAGGTGCTGATTTGTTTCCCGCTCCTCCCACTTGTCTCTCCTTTATCCCTGCTATAACAGCCCTTGCTCCCCACAAATTCTGACCCTTCTCCCAGGTCTCCATGTTTTTGACTTACCTGTGCGCTTTGGTCACCTGCCCCCTTTGAACCTAGCTTAAAGCCTTCCTCACTAGGTTAGCCAGTCTGTATCTAGATACGCTCTTCCCCTTCCTCAATTGGTGGACTACATTTCTGCTTAGCACTTCTTCTTCCTGGAACAGCATCCTGTGGTCAAGGAAGCCGAAGCTCTCCTGACGACATCGTCTTTGCAGCCAAGCATTCACCTCCAAGATGCATCCAGACAATGCTGCAATACCTACTTAAATAGGGAAAATTAAATAGAAAGTTGTGGGGGTAAAGTCCTGCCCCTATTGAAATCAATGGGACTTTTGCTATTAACTTCATTGGGTCTGGGATTTCACCCCTCATTTCAACCTTAACTATAAATTTCATGCTCTTGTTAGAGTGATACCCATAGGATTACTTAAACGTTAAATCTAGAAGCATTCCTTCTAGCAGTGGCAGAGGTGACTTGATAAGATTCTGTTACATATATAGTTTACAGTTTTAAAATTGTATTTTTTCCCCCCTAATGACATTAGCAGTACCTTCAAAGTTTTTTGTTAGATATGTGGGTTTTTTGTTTTGTTTTTTACAATGAGATGAGATAACTAACATGCATTAGCTGTCTTAATGTAAAAACATAGGGGAGACAGGCAGTGATGCAGTGCTACATGTTATAGTGCTGGAGCCCAGCAGAAATGATCACTGGGGGGCAGAGATTCACTGTATGGGGACACTTGCTAGTTCTTCCCTCCCTCACCTCCCTCCAGTTATACACGACAGCAGGGTCACCCTCACTGGCACAAGAGAGAAATTGGCAGTAATGGCTTGCCTGGCTGCTCGCATGGCTGCTCGCCTGGCTGCCCACCCATCTCTAGTACCATGGGACAATGGCAGTATCACACAATGGCCAGCACGGACAAGGCCTGAGGGAGATCTCCCCTGAAAGGCAGCAAGCCTGTTTAGCATGTGAACACCAGACCAGGTGCCTGATGTGGCGTAGGCCTGGCTTGGGTGCTGGCTCCCATCACCCTGCTGGGGCCAACTCCCATGCCAGAACAGTGGGTGACATGGCAGGCTGGCAGGGCTTATCCTGGCCCTAGGCCCCGTCCCTGCACCAGCCTTTAACTTTGGTCACAGCATTCAAATAACAGTATGGCACCACAAAGCCACTCTGAGTATGCAGGTCCCCCAGACTCACCCAACCCCCCCGTGATGCTAACCTCTCCCCATGTGCTCTGTCTTGCTCTCGCCATTCCCACCTCCCTGGCTGTGTAAGCATCCCATGCTCGCCTTACCCTGTGCCTTCCCCTCGGCTGTGTAACCTCACCGTGTACCTCACCCTCCACCCTAGTACTATGGTATGGCTGCCCAGACAGGGGCCCTGGCACCATCTGGAAAACTCCCCAGTAGCCCAGCCAGTCCCACATCCCCACACTGGCTTCAAGTGTGTTTGGGGCTCCTGCTTAGCAGTTCTGCAAACAGCTGTGTCTGGCTGGGTGGCCTTATTTGGGGGGTGTAGGTGATGAGTGAGCACAAAATCATGTGGCAGCCAGATCCTCCCCACAGGGAACCCACTCAAAGCACTAGGCCAGGCCCCAGGCAGAGTACCACCTGCCAGAGACACAGCACCTTACGAACCCTCTCACTTCCCTCCCTTGCAGCAAGGGCCAACACTGGCCCTGCAGAGACTGGGAGATGGCTTCTGATGCAAGTGTGTGGGATTGCAGAGGGAGGGGAGCTGGGACATGGTGTGGGAGGAGGGATGGATCTGTGTGATGGGTTAGGAGGACGGGGTAGGCCAGCAAGAGATGGGTGGGGGGATGGGCCCACATGGTAGGCCTACAAGGAGAGGTCAGGAGGATGGGTTGGGGTACTTAATCTGTCAGGGATGTTGGAGCTCCCCAACAGGGTGTCCAGGTTGGTGACAGTGCTCTGGACCACTCAGGCCTGGTTGTGCTCTGGGTAGCAGCCAGTGAGGTGGCAGCTGATGAAGTCCCTGTGAGAGCCTCCTGGCAGTGCTTCAGTCTGCAGTACCTGCTCCACTACCAGCCATGGGGACACAGCACAGCTGGGTCAGGGGTGTCTCTGTAGGAACTGCCACCCCTAACCAGGGCCCAGCCTGTTCCCAGTGGGGTCTTCCTGGAAGAGGAGGCTCCTGGCTCTGGGAGCCTGCCCAGCAACAAAAGGCAGGGACTGGCCTGGCTGTGAGGTGGCCTCAACCCAGCAATACCCTCATCCCTCCCTGAGCCCAGTGGCTTCTGCTTCCCCGAGCCCAGAGAAGCCCCTTCTCGTCTCCCAGGAGCTCCTGTTCTCCCTGAACCCAGCAGTCCCTCCAGAATCCAGGGAGGCAAGTTTCTGGCAGGCTGTTAATGCCTTGATTGTTCTCGTTGAACCCCTGCATCCCATGGTTAGTGCTTCAGCAGAGCCCACTCTGGGTCTGCCCAAGGGTCATGTGGTCCTCAGTTGCCTCAGTTCCTTTCTTTCCACAGCTAGTTGCCTGCATCAGGATCTTCTTTCTTTCCCTAGCATATTGACGAGACTTTGTGCTTACTGCTAAAACTTTTGGGTAGTTTTTACTTTGGTCCTCCATGGTTGCACAGTAAGGTTCCTAGATGGGGTCTGGCTCAGTTCTTTGGTAGGATGAATATGCTCAGCGCACAACACTGACTCATGTTTTGCTTCTAGGTATATCCGACTATATGGGAGAAAATTCAGCAAAGAAGATCATGTGCTTTTTATCAAGTTGTTGTACGAGTTAGTAACAATTCCAAAGCTGGAGATCAGCATGATGCAAGGATTTGCACGTCTGTTGATAAACCTGTTAAAGTAAGTACATTTTGCTGACATTCTTCTACTTAAATATTTACATCAATAAATAGAACATTTGATCCTTGACCTACAGTATAGTTAAGTGCATAGTTTTTCCCCATACAAATTACTTCACTTCCTCTTACCCTGCACAGATCTTTGATAATGGAGGGAAATTTGAGAAAAATGGTCCCTTTTGAGGCTTGATTTCAATATTGATCAAAGAGCTAAATATCATATGTTAGTTTTGTTTTTCTTGATATCGAAATCCTATAAGAAGATGGAGAGCTCCAAAAATAATATGGTCTCAGAACTAAAGTTTAAGAGGAACTATTAAGGGATGCGTGTGTCACATGTCATTGAAAGTACTTATTAATGAGTAATATAACTGCATTTGGCAATTTTTTTGTAGAGACATTATGGATGTCTTGAATCCCAGAAAGAATGCTTGTAAGTGAATAGTGTTTGACATGTCATTAGCAACAATAATGTGGAAAAAAGACAAATAAATATATGTTCAAATAACTTTCTGCTGTTCAGTTTTTAGGTATTCTAATGTATGATGAGTGCTGGTAAGGACAATGTTTAATCCCAAAGTGCACTTCATTTCTTAAATTAGGAAAAAAGAACTTCTTTCAAGAGATGATTTGGAGTTACCATGGAGACCACTTTATGAAATGTTGGAGAGGATATTGTATTCCAAAACAGAACACCTTGGATTAAATTGGTTTCCTAAGTAAGTTTTATTTTATTGTAGTTTATTGAAGTAATTGCTTTGGTTAAAGGGGTCTTTAGAACACTGACAATGTGGTTGAAGATTATTTTTTAATATTTAGATCTTGATATACAGTAAATGAACAAATGTATATCTAGACTTTTCATACATTAATGGCAATAAAGGGTAAAAAAAAGACACATCATCTTGCACATCCTTCTGACAGTGAATAATTATTTGTTATGATATTTCTTTATTTTTCATGTACTTGATAAAGTTCAGTTTTAAGTATGTCAAGTGATGCGTCTTCAACCACTTCCATTGGGAAAATAAACCACAGTCTAATAAACTTCAGTGATTCATTTTTTTAAATGAAATGTCCTTTGTTTAATTCCATCTCACAACAAGAGTTAGAAAAAAAGCGTCTCTCTTACACAGACACAAAATATGAAACTTACATGTAAACTATCTGTGTCACACACAGAGAAACAAAATGTTTTTCATTGGGGAAGATTATACATTCATTTATACATTAAAAATGCTAATGCGATACTGTGGGCAAATGCAATTGTTCTACAAAGTTAAAAGTTTTAGAAAACAAATTATTTTATTTTTAGGGGGGAAAAAACTTGAAAACATCTAAATTGCACATTGCTTTTTCATAAAGCAAATATGCACTGTGCGAAGTCTGGTTATAGAGGACATTAATAGGTAATGTTTTCTTGGTATCTGCACTCAAAACTTGCAAACCATTCTCAATTCATGTATACAGAAATCCTGAAATTTGGACCTCACCCATACAGAGGTCTGTGTATTTACACTAAACATACAGCACAGTTGGTATTTATCAATCCACTGCCTATAGAGATCATTTTAACCTCTCTGTCCTATCATAAACTTGTTGCCTATTTTGCAGCCATGCAGTGTGCACAAACTTTACAGCTCCATCTTTGGCTACCTATTGAACTTTCCATTCTTCTTTTTCAGATAAAGGTTCAAAGGTCCCTATGTTACATTTTCTTGATTTTTCTCTATCCAATTTCCATTATTGCCTATTCATACAAGTAGAGTAGAGTTAGTTGAAATTTTTCAGGAAGGTGCTGCTAAAGTTGTGGAACCCCCTTTTTTTTTTTATGGGAAACACTAATCTCAACTTTTGAAAAGTTAGAGTGCAAAAAGGAAATGGAGAGGAAAAAGTGAAGGAAAAGCCCTAGATTATAATAATTTTATTGCACTCAGTGGCCAAAAAAAAAAAAAAAAAAAAAAAAAAAAGGGGGAGGAGGGGGACGGAATAAAAGGAATGAGGGGGAGGAAAGAGGAAAAACAAATTCAGAGCTTTTTGACCAAAAAATAGTTTTTGAAAACCAAATTGAAATAAAAACTGCAGTTTCAACTGAAATCTTTCCATTTTTGAGTTAAAAATTCTCATTTGAAATTTTTCACAGGAAAAAACAAGTTTTTTGATCAGTGATAGTTGTAAATGACACACACTTTTCCATAAATTTAGAAAAGAACCCTGCCTATGATCTGTGTGTCATGAAGAGAAAACAACCAGATTATTGGTGTAATTATATTAGGGAAGACTTCCCTCTGAGATCTTCTGATAGAATATTTTTTTTCAGACTATATATAATTATTGGCCTTCTCTCTGAAAATTGTTTATCTACTGTTTTTTCAAGTAATACCTAAAGGATTACTATATTTAAAAAGTCAGAGGAAAAAATATAATTAGTTATGGATTTACCAACACCTAGTGAAACTGATTATATGCAATTTGCCCCTTTGAGTCAAGTTTTTACTTTGCTGTGTGAAAAACCCACACAATAACCGGGGAGAGAAAAATTGGAGGGGCGGTGGGCCGTAAAAGCACAAAAATTGGAAGGAGGATTCCAAATGGAGGTGATAATATCGACTTTTGCTTTTAATTGACTAGATTTGAAGTTTATGGCATCCTGTTTACTATGCAGTGCGATGTGTTCTCATATGGTGTTTTTGCAACATTGTTGAAATTTTCAAATTTGAGTGAATTCCTTTTGCTGTATATAAAGGGATAATTATTTAAATATTGCCAGGATCATTTAAATATTTTCTGCCTTTAGAGTTACTCTTACACTATATTTGTTGATAGAACTGTTGTTTTCCATGTCATGTTTTACATCTTTCTTTTTTACATTCAGTTCATATCGACCAGGCTTGTCTTCACCTAAAACATTTGTGCTTAATGTTTTACATAGGTGGTAAGGATAATGTTTTTTTGTTCAGCTCTGGCCGATGTGTTATCTTCTGCATGTTCTGTTAGACTGTAACACTTGTCACACAGGTGTAACTTTCTGCATAAATAATTGTATTGGAAAACCAATGTTAACATTACACCACTATTTATGAGAATGTCGCACTGTATTTAAACCTTTCTAATTGTGGAAAAATATACTGTGTGTGACGTGGCTGAGAAAAATGGCTATCTGCTAATTATTTTAACCAACAAACATCAAAGGATACAACACTAGGTGATTTTAATGTTTTGAATAATTATTACTTGGAATACGGACAAAATGTGTATTTACATAGCTTTAGAAATGCATGTCTCTTAAATGAATTTAACTTTACTACAAAACATTGAAGTTGGTGGAAAGTGGTTGAGAGCAAGGATAGTGGTTCCAGAAACCACATTAAGGAGAAAAATAAAGTAGAAAAGGCAGTATGAAACAAATGCGCCTAGCAGCCTGACAATTTTGTCTTCTATGGATTTTTGTCAGTGAAAATTATTTTTTAAAACAGGTTATAAAAATGTAGAAATCATTTGTACTTATGTAAGTATAAAATACAAATAACCTTCAGAAAGAAATTTCAGTACAGTATTACTTACTCTGAGGAATCATAGAAATGTAGGACTGGAAGGGACCTTGATAGGTCATCTAGTTCAGTCTCCTGCACTGAGGCAAGACTAAGTATTATCTAGACCAGGGGTTCTCAACCTTTTTCTTTCTGAGGCCCTCCCCAACATGCCATAAAAACTCCACGGCCTACCTGTGTCACAGCAATTGTTATTCTGCGTATAAAAGCCAGGGCGGATGTTAGGGGTAGGAAGCAGGGCAATTGCTCGGGCCCCACATCACAGGGGGCACAGCAAAGCTAAGTTGCTTAGGCTTCAGCCTCAGCCTTGGGTGGTGGGGCTCAGCATCCTGGGCTGCAGTCCCTTGCGGTGGGGGGTTTCTGCCCTTCGCACTAGAGAGTCTAATGCCCGCCTTGCGTGGTGGCCCTCCTAAAACCTGTTCACGGCCCCCCCAAGGGGCCCTGAATCCCTGGTTGAGAACCACTGATCTAGACCATCCCTGACAGGTGTTTGTAGGTTTTTAAGAACGGGTTAGACCAGTGGTTTTCAGACTGTGGGTCCCGACCCAGTACTGGGTAGCGGAACGTAAGGCACTTGGTCGTGGTGGCTCTGGTCAGCACCGCCGACCGGGCCGTTAAAAGTCCCATTGGTGGTGCTGCCTGGCTAATCCAGGCTAGTCCCTACCTGTTCTGACACCACACTGCGCCCCGGAAGCTGACTGGGAGCCGCCCAAGGTAAACCAGTGCCCCAACCCTGCACCCCAATCCCCTGCCCCAGCCCTGAGTCCCCCCAAACCCTTCCTGCACCCCAACCCCCTCATTCCTGGCCCCACCCCGCAGCCCTCATCCCTGCACCCCAATCCTTTTCCCCAGCCCTGAGCCCCTCCCAAACCCCTCATCCCAAGCTCCGTTGGGTCGCGGACATCAACAATTTTCTTCAACTGGGTTGCCAGAAAAAAAGTTTGAAAACCACTGGGTTAGACCAGGGGTGGCCAAACTTACTGACAGTCCGAGACACATCTGACAATCTTCAGAAGTTTGAGAGCCAGAGCGTGCCTGCTGGGGCTTGGGGCTTCAGCCCCATGGGAGGCGCCTGCCTAGGGTCAGGGCTTCAGCCCCACAGGCCTGAAGCCCCGAGCCCCGGCCGGCACGCCCCGCAGGCCTGAAGCCCCAAGACCCCCCTCCCACTGGGCAGAAGCTGAAGGGGACGTGGGGGGAGCACGTGGGGGTCACACGTCCTCCTAGATTATTTTTGTTTGTGGTGCCACCAGCCTCCTTCCTTCACGGCAGCTGCTGGAGCCGGCAAGCTGGGAGCTGTGGCCATGGGGAGAGGCAGCAGCAAAAGCTGAGAGCTGCAGGGAGAGCTGCTGCTTTTGCTGCTGCCTCTCCCCATGGAGCTAAAGCAGCAGCCTCTCCCTGCAGCTCCCAGCTCTTTGCTGCTACCTTTGCATGGGGAGCTAATACCTGGGAGCTGCAGGGAGGGACCACTGAAGGTAAGAGGGTGTGTGTGCCTGCGGGGGCATGACTCAAGCTGTTGGGAGGGGGCACATGTCTTCCACTCTCAGCAGGCACGAGTCATTTCTGGCAGAAGTCCCTAGCCCCATCACCCTGCTGCAGGGCAGAGGTGCTAAGCCTCTCCCCTGCCCAGTCTGGCAGGTGAAGAATGGGGAGAGCCTGGGGGGCTCCGTGAGCTGCACTTTAACTGTAAAAGAGCCGCAGTGCGGCCCGCGAGTTGCAGTTTGGCCACCCTTGGGTTAGCCAATGATGGAGATTTCACAACCTCCCTAGGTAATTTGTTCTAGTACTTAACTACCCTTACAGTTAGGAAGTTTTTGCTAATACCGTCTTTCCCCGAAAGTAAGACATCCCCCGAAAATAAGACCTCCCCGATAATAAGGCCACCCCGGAATATAAGGTCCCGAAGCTACCGTAAGGCGTCTGACTCCTCTGGACTGTAGCGGCGGGCGCCGCCGCGCAGCTCACTGATTGGCCGCAACAATAAATGTGTACCGTATTCTTCTTCATGGAAAAATAAGACCTCCCCTGAAAATAAGACCTAGCGCATCTTTGGGAGCAAAAATTAATATAAGACACTGTCTTATTTTCGGGGAAACAGGGTATCTTACCTAAATCCACTTTGCTGCAATTTAAGCCCATTACTCCTTGTCTGGTCCTCAGTGGATAAGGAGTAGAATTTATCACCGTCCTTTTTATAACCTTTTACATACTTAAAGACTTATGTTCCCCCTCAATCTTCTCTTCTCCAGACTAAACAAACCCAGGTTTTTCAATCTCTCCTTGTAGGTCATGTTTTTTAGACCTTAAGTCATGTTTGTTGCTCTCCTCTGGACTTTCTCTAGTTGTCCATATCTTTCCTGAAGTGTGGTGCTGAGAACTGGATTCAGTACTCCCATTGAAGCCTCATCAGTGCTCAGTAGAGTGGAAGAATTACTTCTTGAGTCTTGTTTACACCGCCCTGCTAATACATCCCAGAATGGACATTGGCTTTTTTTTGCAATAATATTATATTGTCGACTCATTTACTTTGTGATTCACTATAGCCCCTAGATCCTTTTCTGCAGTACTCCTTCCTACATAGTAACTTCCCATTTTATATGTGTGTAATCCTTTCTAAGTGTAGTACTTTGCATTTGTCTTTATTGAATTTTATTCTGTTTATTTCAGACCATTTCTCCAGTTTGTCAAGATCATTTTGAATTCTAACACTGTCCTCCCAAAGCACTTGCAACCCCTCCCAACTTGGTATTGTCTGAAAACGTAATAAGTATACTCTCTATCCCATTATCCAAATCATTTATGAAAATATTGACTAGAACTGGACCCAGAACAGATCCCTGTGGGACCCCATTCAACATGCTCTTCCAGCCTGACTCTGAACTATTGATAACTACTCTTTGAGTACTGTTGTCAAACCATTTGGGCATCCACCTTATAGTAGGTTCATCTAGGCTATATTTCCCTACTTCGCAGTGTATTTCACTGTTTTTTGATAATTAGTGAAATATAGACAATAGTATCAGGCTTTTAACTAATTCCTTTTATTTTTAAACAAATGTACACTCAGTCTTGGAAGAGTATACAAAAGTTAGATATGACAGGTTAGAGAGATCATATATCCTTTTCCACATAAAGAAAATAAACCCTACAGTATTTAAAACATGTCCAGGGATAGGGCTTTACCGGGCTTTTCTTTTTAAAGGTAGATATGTTACAAGACTGCTAATAATAAGCAAGTCTGTCCACTTTTTGTAATGAGGAAGGAGAGAAGGACTGGTTAAAAAAATCAAAGTTTAATAGGATTTAAAAAAATGATCATAGATTTATATGGGTAATATCCACAGTTAACTTTATATGGGATATTTATAAAGGATATAAACCTTCATGCTTCAGGACATCAGCCAACTATTAAGAAGAGTTAGAAAGAAACTTCCCCGGGAAGTTATTCCTTAAGTCTTCATTACAGAGACTTTGCCCTGGTGTCCGTTATACAGTTTAGTCGACGTAAGGCAGCTTATGTTGACCTAACTATGTCAGTTTACATGCTACAGCCTTGCTCCCGCTGATGTAAGTGCCCTACTACATCGACATAACTCCACCTCCATGAAAGGCGTAGGGCTTATGTTGATATAGTTAGGGCAACGCAGTGTCCCTGTAGACACTGTGTCATTTACATTAGCTGTTGGCTGTTGTTTTTATCAATTTCATGGCTCCATGCTGCAGTTGTGAAATTCACAAGAAAGTCCTCTCCACTCCCAGCCGGACCACTGCTCAGGCTTCCCGCTCTGAGCCGGGCTGCCCCCTGTGCTCTCGGTTCCCTGTTCCCAGCCAGGCTGCTGCCCAGTCTCCCTGCTTGAAGCCAGGCTGCTCCTGGAGTCCTGGCTCCCCGCTAGGAGCCCGGCTGCACCGAAGCTCGTGTCTCCCTGCTGTCCTCTAGTTCATTCTTTTTAGCCTGAGTTGTAAAGCTATGATTATAAGATTAAAATCTTCATCCATCCTTACTTAAGATCTGATGTAAAACTTGTGGGCCAGCAAGACAGGTCTGTGATTTCTGGCATCAGTAGATGAGTCTTGTCTCCTCTTCTCTCCACTTCCTTTTCCAGCCTCCAAATTCTCCATTGCAATTCCTTTGCTTGAGTGCAATGTGGTGGTATTTTTCCACACTGTGAATAATCTTTAATGTCAATCTTCAGCAGCTTAGTATAAAATTATCCAGGAGTGCTGCTGATCTAGGCCTTCTTTGTTGCCTGGTGGAACTCCTGTCATCTAATATAATGAAACCTGACTGTTTTCCAGCTATTTGATTCTTCAAGTACAAAGACTTCAATCCAAAGTCTTTGTGTATTAGCAGAATTTGACAATTTGACTTTATTCCATTATTTGCAAGAGGTGGTTGGTCTCTTCTTTTTCTTGTGGCTATTAGAAACAGTTTAGTAAGTCACCAGCTTACCTTGCAGGGATGTTATGGACTCTGGCAATTTGTCAGTTCTGGATAAAATCTGCAAAATTCTGTCTTCTACAGAGTGCTGCTTGAAATGCATTCCTGTTGCTGGGGAGAGGGTGAAAAAAACTGCTGATTTGCACTGAACTCAGAAGTAGTGTTGCAGGACTGTAGATACCTCAAAGACTTCACTGTGAAAAAGTGCTTTATCCATTTTGTATTCTTTTCTGTGAATTTAAGTGGAGTCTTGTTTCCTTTGTGTAGGACTTCTCAGATGTACAGTATAGTGTTTATATGGAGAGCACAGAAGGTATTTTAGCTGGACATCAGACCTTTCAGTGGACACTGATCAGTCTTCTCTTTATCCTGAGCAAGGCTCCACTTTTCTCTCTTATTTTTTGGTATCGTGAGGGTAGGGATGCAGTATTTGTTTTACTTTTAAGCAGTTGGTAAACTACATGTACAATACAATGATGTTCTGACTTCATAGAATATTTTTATTCAGAGAATGGCCTCTGACCAAAATGCAATCTAGCAACTGTATACTATTGTATTTAGTGAAATTAAATGTTAATTACAAAGCCATGTAAAAAGTGAAAATAGATTTCCTGTCGCAGTGCCATTGATGGATGATTCTCCCTTCTTCATCTTTTTGAAAGCATTTACTATTTTGCTTCAATTTTAAAAAAAGGTTTGACAAAACTAGATGTTACACATGAAGCTTGATGTGAAAATTGCTATTAAAAACCGTCATTGTTACTCTAATAAAAACAATGTTACCCATAGCTAGGAAAACTTGTTCAGTCAGCTGTTGCTAAGTGTCAGGGAAGCTGTAGAAATAACTAGTGAGTTACAGTTAATTCATTTCTTTTGTTTGTTTAGGAATGTATACAAATGCATTAGATTCAATTGTGCATAAACAAAAACCAAATCTAAAACAATAGTTTAGGATTTGGAGTCTGAAATGTACTGAAATATACTGCTCTTCATCTATCTTAAAACTTAACAGATTCTTATGTAATTTTTCTATTATAGTTTCACGTATATATAAAAACTATGTTGATTCTGCTTGTTAGTCCATAATAGAATGCAAGATATTACTGTTTAATACAGTACTAATTTTTCACTCTTGATTGAAGTACAATGAATACTAGAGAGGAGTAAGGAGTAGAATCAGAAATTAAGGCAGTTTTAATCCTTGTGATTAGGTCTGTATGCAACAGAAGGATTAGCCACTGCATGTACACAGATGGTGTCTAATTGCATCAATACCATCTTAGATTTTAAACAATCATAAACTGACTGTTGTAATTACATTAGTCTATTTCAAGTACAGCATATAATTTTCTTTTTCGTTTTTGTTTCAGTTCTGTAGAAAGCGTTCTAAAAACACTTGTGAAAAGCTGTCGACCGTAAGTTCTTAACTATTTTCCAATCTTTCTGAAGCACATGCCTTTAGTATTTCTTTTCTGGAATGTGTTAGCTCCTTGGGGGTTCTTTGTACTGTCTGCTATTTTCTTAAAAGTGTAAGCTTTCTGATCCCCCCTCTCTCTTTCCAACATAACATTTAGCATTTATAGTTGAAGTTTCAAAGTTGAACTATATTTGGTACATTATATTTGATAAAAGCCTTTGTTCTAGTGAAAAATCATTTGTGTTATATTTTCTGGACAAGCCTCCTGTTTTATGGAACTAATTTTATTTCATCATTTTAAACCCACATGATACACTTCTTTATTAGAGCTGAAGTGATGCAAATACATCAAGTTTCTATTATTTCTTCTCTGGAAATATTGTTTAACTTAATCTTTCAAGTGTGTGTGTTATCTGCTTAACAGAAATAAGTTTAATAAACTCTTGCTTCCCTAGTCCTGCCATCCTGAAAGCTGATGATATAATGGAATGGTCTGTTGCTTTACTTGATACAATTTAGAGTAATCTTTTAAGTTAAAAGTTAAGACCTACTTTTGGGCCTACTTATGGAAGGGAGTGGGGCAGGTGGGAGGAGGGAGAAAAGTGTAAAACATTGTTTTGATAAATTTTGAATCCTCATTAGTCATTTTTCTACAGCTGTTGTCTGAAATATATCAATTTGAGTGATCTTTTACTTTTGGGAGAGATTTTTTTTTAGTTTCCTCAACCACATGTTTGAGCCTGAGATTCCTGTGGTTTGTTTTTTATAGTAACATGTTTTGATTTCACTTTAAAGGGCAATAACTAAGGGCAGCACTCTGCACAATGTCAAAACAAAGTGTGTGTGTGTGTGTGTGTGTGTGTGTGTGTGTGTGTGTGTGTGTTTTAAAATACACTCTTTTACTCTAAGCTCAAATCTTAGTTGAAAACTAATAAAAAGTTAAGTGGAAAGCCACATAGCATTAAAAAAAAAAAAAGCCAGAATATCGCTAGATAAATCCTGAACCAATTTTTGTAATCTGCAACCATAATTTTGTCTTTTTCCATATCACCTCAGTCATATCCACTATCCACAGTGCATATGCGCTCACCCTGGTCTAGAGTTTTCTATAGTGCTCTATACTAATTGACTTATAGGAGTCTGAGATATACAAGGAATGTAGCTGAGAGGTCTGGTAGCTCTTTTCTGGCCTATGTGAAATATTGATATCCATTGTTCACTTTCTTGTGAGCAGGTGATCCAGATTATAAAACCATTCCCACATTTGGCATCTGTTAAGTATTACTGGCAGAGAGACCAAGGTTTGAATGGCTATCTAGAGGTAATCACCCCAGGCTGGTGTTGAGAAGCTTTGGCAGGGCAGAGTGAGGGAATTCTGCACTGATGCTGGTTGTGCAGTGCCATTTTTTTTGGACAAATGAAGGAATTTGGTTTTTAAGGCTGACAATCTAAGTTCCCTCTAAGCTGCACGGCTGTACAGCTGCCTATTAAGCCCCACGCAGGGGCTCAGGGCTGCGGTGGAGAGAGGCATCCTTCCCCACTGGCCCCAGTATGGACCTGTCCCAGACTTGCTGCAGCCGGGGAGAGGTGCCCCTCCCTGCCTGCCAAAGCGTGACCTGCTGCAGTGGGGAGAGGTGCCTCTCCCCGCCAGCCCCAGCGGGGACCTGCCCCGGACTTGCCACTGCCGGGGGACAGGAGCCCCTCCCTCGGCCCGGCCCAGCCATGCCGGAGCTGCCACGGCTGGGGAGAGGCGCCTCTCCTGAAGGCCTGAGCTGCTGCAGTGAGAGAGGGCTGGGGGGGGGGGGGAGGGGGAGTATTCGCTCCCCACTGCAGCCCCGGGACAGCCTGTACTCCAAACCCCTCATCCCTGGCCCCACCCTAGAGCTCCCCTCCCCCGCATCCCAACAGTCTGCCCCAGCCCTGAGCCCGCACCCCAAACCCCTCATCCCCAACCCCACCCCAGAGCCCGCACCCCCAGCCAGAGCCCTCATCCCCCCACACCCCAACCCTCTGCCCCAGCCCTGAGCCTCCTTCCACACTCCGAACCTCTCAGCCCCACCCCCACCACATGAATTTTGTTATGTGCACCAGTATGAAGGTGATGTGTCACGCATCACTTCCATATTGGTACATATAAACAAAACTAATTCCGCACATGGATGTGAAAAATTAGAGGGAACATTGCTGACAATTTGACATCTTTTATTAGCATCAAATTTACACTTAATGTATAATGTATGTTTTTATTTCAAAATGAAAATGTGAAATTTGATTTAACTTCTGGAAACTCTTTACTCTAAATTTTGCATGGGTGAGGTTGCAGGAATTGGTAGCATGGCTTTTAAGAAGCCATATTTTATCTGCAATAACTTTTTAATATAAACTAATGCCTATTCTTACTACGGAACAAATTCTAAATACTAATTTTACATGAGTAAGCAGCTCCTTCTTAGAAAAGTTCCATATTTGTTATAGGGCTATTCTAGTCTTCCAGATGCACTTTATTTGGAGGAATCAGAACATTAGCTCTACTTCCATTAAGGTCTGTCTTCAATGTAAATATCAGTTGTTTGGTCTCACACAGTCTTTACGTTGAAGCAGTTCTGTATCATGAGGATTTTTTTAGTTGTAATAAGAGTAAGAAATTTTATTACAGTTGCACGCTTTGTAGAAATGATCCATATTTCCAATCATCTCATCCTTCAGACTTTTTTTTTTTTTTTGAAGGCTGAGTGAGGCTGAGGATTTATTGGGTTACTGGTCTGGTTCTTATCTCTTTCTTTATAACAATATGGCCCTTACACCATAACATCTCAGTGCACAGTTTAGCTTTAAAATTAAAATTCATGGCAAAAATAAATAAAATGCAAATTAAGACTTTCCCTTTTTTAGGTATTTTCCAGAAAATGCCTCCATGGAGATGCTAGATGAATGGCGGCCTTTAATGTGCCCATTTGATGTTACCATGCAAAAGGCCATCACCTATTTTGAATTATTTCTACCCACTTCCCTTCCTCCAGAACTTCACCATAAAGGTTTTAAGTAAGTATATGTCAAAATTTTAAAGTTATTTTTATTCTTTGTTGGGTAATACCACGTTACATGGCCAAGGCATTGCCTATTAATTGGTGGTTTATGAAGTTGCGCGTCATGCAAGTAGATTCATGTATCGGTTCTGATAAATATGTATATCTGGTACTCATGTCTTTTGAAATTGCATTGTAATGAACATCATTCTAGGAGTGCATCTAACAGTTGGAATTTTGCTGCTTCAAAAGTAGTTCTTAGAATAGTTGAAAATTGTAAGCCTTTGACTTCTAGGGCAGGGAAGTAGGAGGTACCTTTGTTTTAGAACACCAGCTGTTACTTATGTTTCCAACCATCCATTTCTTTCTCCATATGAAAAATGGGAAGAGCTCCCCAGGGTCACTACTCTGTCCTTTCAGCTCTTCCTTCATTACACCACAAGCTTCTTGGTATCTGGTTGGCATTATTTAAAAAAAAAAAAGTTCTTTAAACTTAAAAAAAAATAAAAATTGAGTGCCTTTTTCTGAATTTACATAAAATACCATATATACTCGTTCATAAGCCAAATATTTTTAGTAAAAAAGTGACGCATCAGAGACCGGGGGTCGGCTTATAAATGGATCTACACCAAAATTTGATGATTTTAAACTCTATGGCAGGGATCGGCAACCTTTGGCACGCGGCTCCCCAGGGTAAGCACCCTGGCGGGCCGGGCCGGTTTGTTTACCTGCCGCATCCACAGGTTCAGCCGATTGCAGCTCCCACTGGCCGCAGTTTGCAGCTCCCACTGGCCGCAGTTCGCCGCTCCAGGCCAATGGCGGCGCGGGCTGAGGGATGTGCTGGCCACCGCTTCCCACCGCCCCCATTGGCCTGGAGCAGCGAACCGCCCCCAGTGGGAGCCGCGATCGGCCGAACCTGAAGACGCCGCAGGTAAACAAACTGGCCCGGCCTGCCAGGGTGCTTACCCTGGCAAGCTGCGTGCCAAAGGTTGCCGATCCCTGCTCTATGGAATCATTGAACTGAATATCTAATACATTGTCGTTTTGTTTACCTGGAGCGTCTGCAGGCATGGAGCCCCTCAGCTCCCTGTGGCTGCGGTTCGCCGTTCTCAGCCAATGGCGCGCCATGTCTCGCAGCTCCCATTGGCTGGGAACGGTGAACCGCTGCCACAGGGAGCTGAGGGGCTCCATGCCTGCAGACGCTCCAGATAAACAAAATGTCCCGACCTGCCAGCGGCTTACCCTGACGGGCTGGGAGCCAAAGTTTTCCAACCCCTGCAATATAGGATCGGCTTATGAAAGGGTCATACAGTTTTTGCTATTTTTACTTATCCATCTTGGGGGGTCGGCTTATAAACGAACGGGCTAATGAACGAGTATATATGGTATACAAATTTAGCATATCTAGTGATGTACCTTGGTTGGCAAGGCTGCAGACTTCGGTGAATGCTTAGTTTCCTCTGGCTTTTTCAGACACCATCTGCAAGGCCAAATTGCTGTTGGCCCCCAAAGGGAGTGAGCTTTTAGTGAACCAGGGTCAAGTGTTCCTGGTGGGCATCAAGATTTTGCACTAGTGCTAACTGCTTTAACATAGACTGTGCCAGGTCTGTGCTTTAGCACTCTCTCATTATCCAGCTGCACTGTTAAGTCAGTGAAATCCATATCCTCACAGCATCAAATGAATATATTACTCGGGTGGGACACTGAATTGAAGTCTTCACTGTAGAGTGCCAATTTTTGGCCAGCCTTTAGTGGCCATTATTTGACCACTGTGGCCTTACATGGTCTTCTTTTCACTCCTGGGCATGGACTCTTCTTGACTCTAGTTATGCCGTTTCACTTAGCATTGATGCTGGTAACTCAGGCTCAGAATTCTTGGATCACGTGCAGCCTGACGATCTCTTATCAGCACATTGCTTGAAGTATATTCAAGTTCATCTTGCATCATGCCAGTTGAAGCTTAGTTCTGTTGCAGAATCCCCGTGGAGCTCTCTGAGCAACGGTGTGTGCTGACTGTCGCCATCTAGATTTGTACTCCAGGCCTTAATGTCTGAGGAAATTGTGTGTGTACTGAAGCTCCCAAGGCATTCTGTGTGACTGAACTTGGGTGTATCTGGATTTGATGCCTGCTCTAGCACCATTGACATACCCACATCGTGTGTTAATACAGCAGTTTGGGACATATCTCTGTGATCACGGTGATAGCGAAAACAGGGACATTCTTAATTTGTTACCTGAAGGTAATATAAGAGACAGGGATAATCTTCCAAATCTCCCTCTATCTCTGGGGACTGAGGCAAAAGACCAGAACCTCCTTCCTCGGAGTATAAAAATCTTCACCTCTCATTATTGATAGTAGCTACTGTAAGTCCATTGCATTTGGTCCACCAAGGACCCAACGCTATTTTAGCTTTCCCTATGAATACTGAAATTAGTTCCACTGACACCTGTAGTTATCAGGTGTCTGAGTGGCTTATTGCATTTGAAACCGCCCATAGGTGCTGACTTGGTGGGTGCTCCAGGGCTGGAGCACCCACGCGGAAAAAATGGTGGGTGCTGAGCACCCACCGGCAACCCTCCTATGAGCTCTCCCCAGCTCCTCCCATCTGCCGTGATCAGTTGTTTCGGAGTGTTCAGGAGGCTCGAGGGAGTGGGGGGAGGAGCAAGTACGTGGCGCGCTCGGTGGATAGGGTGGAACTGGGCGGGAAGAGGTGTAACGGGGGGGAGGGGGAGAAGAGTCAGGATGGGGCCTTGGGGGAAGGGGTTGAGTGGGGGTGGGACCTGGGACAGAGCTGAGGGTCAAGCACCCCCTGGCACTTTGGAAAGTCGCCACCTGTGAAATCACCCATTAAAAAGTCTCTGGTTACATGTGATATTAAGTTGGTCATTAGAAAACTGATGAAACCTCTTGAATTTCTTGATGTTTGTAACATGGAAGAGGTGACCTCAGTGAGTTAGCTTGAGGTGTTACTGACTTCCACCCCACCCTGTTTTAAAAGGATAGTGTGATGATATTTGGTTATCCTAAATTCTTCCCCAAAGTGGTGTTGGAGTTCTCCCTTAAACAGTCAGTCTTCCTGTCAACATTCTCCCCAGGACTGAAGGCACTTTCTGGGGAAACTGTTCTCCATGAACTTGATGTGAAAAGATTATCTGAAGTGGATTAGAGCTCACAGTACACACAGGTGTCAAATTCATTCTGTGAAGAGAGCCATACTGCATTTTTTTATGGTCTGTGATCTGCACCTATGTTGTTCAGGATCATACGCTACCCTCTAGCCACAGCAGATCTACTGCTTAACAATGGGAGTTTTTGCATAAAGACTGAAGGAGAGTATTGCTCTTATGGAATAATAACTGAACTTCAATAACTGAACATTACTATTTTGTTTGAAATTGCTCAGTGCTGGTGGGAAATGAGGCAGAGCAATTTAGGTAATTCGCATGTGCAGTTACCCAACTTCTGAATACAGTTATGGTAATTGTGAAAGTTAGGGGCACAGGTATGCCTCTGATTATTTGATAAACTTGCTTTTAGTGACATCAGGTGTCACTGAAATAAATTGGGGCAGCTTGCATATCTCAGAGCTATTTCAGGCTGTCACTGGAAGTCATATCTAAATGGCTGTTGGATTGCACATCTCATTGCTATGCTTTTTCAAGCCTACCACTTCAAGGTCATATTAAAGCTGTTGCTCCAACCAGCTTCTGAACAGATCTTGACCAGAAGAATATGCAGGACAGCCTTTTTTTTTTTTTTTTTAACTATTATTGTTATCAAGGTGTATATTACCTTATTTTTCCAGACCTTGCTGATGTGGGTCTCTGTATATGGTTCTGTGTTTACACCTATAGTGATATCCTTTTTTGTTGTTGAACATCTAAAAGTATGGATCTGCGGTAAGGCAGCTGCTGTTCAATAAGAGAATTTCTTGTAATTCTTTCTTTCTGAGGGTGTTTTGTGTTACATTGATCTCCGCTCAGCCACCTCAGAATTGGATTTTTCAACTACACCTCTACCCTGATAGAACGTGACCCGATATAACACGAATTTGGATATAACGCGGTAAAGCAGCGGGGAGCCCCGGGCCCTTTAAAGCGCCACCCGAGCCCCGCTGCTTTACCGCGTTATATCTGAATTTGTGTGGAGCTCCGAGCCCTTTAAATCCCTGCTCGAGCCCCGCTGCCAGAGCTCTGGCGGTGATTTAAAGGGCCCGGGGCTCCCCGCAGCAGCTGGAGCACCGGGCCCTTTAAATCACTGCCGGGGAAGCCGGTCCAGTCCGGCACGGCGTACCGGCTCTTGTAGGTACGCCGTACCAGACTGAACCCGATATAATGCGGTCTCTCACCTATAAGGCGGTGAGAGTTTTTGGCTCCCGAGGACCGCGTTATATCAGGGTAGGGGTGTATCTTGTAAAATAAGCACACTTCAGTCATTTATTAATCTTTCCACTTTTTTGATGAAAGCAGAGAATATTGGAAACACTAAGGTTAGCGAAGTTTCAGCAGCAGAGTTGGCATGCATTACTGCCTCTTAGAAGCCAGTGGTTTAGAATTTTGTGTTATGGTAATTTGAGTCACATTATTACCTAGAAGGCTTAGGGCGGGGATCAGTTATACTGTAAATGCCTTCAGAGAACAAGAATTACAGATAATTAGCTTTTTTTTTTTTTGAGTCACTTCCAAGCCTTCCAGTTCTCCTTACTCTTAAGTTTCCTTTCCTACTTCGTTGTTTCTCCTTCCTTTTCTCTCCTCCTTTCTGTAGGTTTTAATAAAAATTGCAATCCTGAGAGACGAGGCTCTTGCTATTGATAGTGTGGAAAAAGAGATGAAGAATGATTCATTAGAAGAACAACCTTTTTGTTTTGCTAGAAAATAAATTAAGTTTAAGGCTGCGAGTCTGTCATGGAAATCATGGATTCCATGACTTTCTGGGACCTCTGTGACTTCTGCAGCAGCTGGTACGGCTGGTCTGGGGGCCGCTGCTGGGGTAGTCTCGGTCCACCGCGCCCCCAACCCCCCTCCCGCTACCCGGCTTCCCCGCCCCCAGAAGCAGCAAGAGTTTGGGTGAGGAAAGGGGCTCAGGGCTGCGGCAGAGGGTTGAGACGTGGGAGGGGGTGAGGGCTCTGGTTGGCACTTACCTCAGGGAGCTCCCTGGAATTTGTGACATGTTCCTAGGTGGAGGTGTGGCCAGGCAGCTCCACGCACTGTCTCCGCCCGCAGGTGCCGCCCCCACAGCTCCCATTGGCCGTGGTTCCCCTGGCCAATGGGAGCTGCGGAGCCAGCCCTCAAGGCTGGGGCAGCGCGTAGAACCCCCTGGCCATGTCTCTACCTAGGAGCTGAGAGACATGTCGCCGCTTCTGGCGATCTGCATGGAGCCAGGAAGGGAGCCTGCCAGTCCCACCAACACCCCCTTCCCCCCCAGCATCTGCGGGGGTCATGGGCTGTGGCCCCTGCCCCCCCCCCCCGAGCACCTGCGGTGCCCCATGGCCACCCCCTGCCCCAGAGCACCCAACATTTAGTCAGGGGTATATAGTACACGTCATGGACAGGTCACGGGACGTGAATTTTTGTTTACTGCCCATGACCTGACCATGACTTTTACTAAAAATACCCGATACTAAAACGTAGCCTTAATTAAGTTACACCTATAATATTTCTTATGAATACATGAACTATATGGTGGCTTCTCCAGTTCATACATATTCTAAGATGCACTCACTCACCTCATTAAACTTAACAAGCTGAATTAAGTGATTCCTCTGTAGTCAGTTAAAGGTATGGCAGTTACAAATTTGGGAAGCCCCATTGAGCCTCAGTGCCCAAGTCCCCCATTAGTCCCAGGAACTCCTTTCCTATCTCCCCATAGATATTCCCTGGGTGGGGGGTGTTGCAGAGTGAACCCACCCTGCACTTACCCCACAGCAGCAGCTCCTGCAGCTCCTGTCCTGCAGGACTAGCTGGGCTGAGCTCCACGCATTGTGATGGATTGGAGGTTTGGGGGATGGTCATGCCCCTGAGAGGGGCCGGGGGGAGGCCCGGGTGGGATATTGCCAAGCGAGACCATCCCGCACTCACCCTGCTGCTGCTGCTTCTGTCCCACTGGGCTGCCTGGGCTCAGACAGTCACTCAATTTTGGTCTCTTCCCCTCCCCTGGTCATGTTGGAGAGGTGGCTGGGCCAAACCTGAGAAGTGCTGTGGACCCTGTGCACCAGGTTGCAATGCCCAGAGCAGGAGCCCAGCCAGCCCCGTGAGGCAGGAGCTGCTACTGCAGGTTGAGTTTTCCATTTTATGTTTTTTTATGGGCTTTTTTGTTTTTTTTTTTATTTTGTTATTTTGCCTTTGCAAAAACTATATGACTTCTAACAATTACTTCCCTTATCTTATCTCCAACACTCCTGTTAATACACCCCAGAACTATGCAAGTCTTTTTCATAACTGCATCACATTTTTGGGTTATATTCAATTTGTGATCTACTATTAACTCCCTGATCTTTTTCAGCTGTACTACCACCAAGCCATTTGTTCCTCATTTAGTACTTGTGCATTTGATTTTTCCTTCCTGAATGTAGTACTGTGACTCATGACCAGAAAGGGTTAAACATCCTACAGGATGAATGACTCAAATTCAACCCTTAAAGAGGTATGGGAGATAATGTTTGTGTTTTTGTGTATTTACATATCATAGAATCATAGAAGATTAGGGTTGGAAGAGACCTCAGGAGGTCATCTAGTCCAACCTCCTGCTCAAAGCTAACACCAATGCCAGTCAGTAGGAGGGAAAAATACTTGGATTAGTGAAAAAGAGACCAGGAGAAAAAGTGCTTGAAACTGACTAGTAGAGTGGAGATGAAATGTGTGCCTGATGAAGGAGGAGAGGTTGGTGCAGTGCTGAAATGACTGGCTTGATTTCATTTTCTTGCAGGCTTTGGTTTGATGAATTTATAGGCCTTTGGTTTTCAGTTCAGAATCTTCCACAATGGGAGGGGGTGAGTATTTACTTTTCCTAATCTTGTAGAGTAGTAGTATATAAATAGAGCTGAAATGTGCTTGTAAATAAACCTGAAATATTTAACTTGAACACTGCCACATCAAGTTCCATTTTCCCTCCCTTTTCTCTAATGTGGGGGAAAGAGGTGGTAATTTCATGACTCCCAATAAGCTGTTGATTGAGTAAACAAGTCAGCAGTTTTGCTTGTTGGGCAGTTTATAATTGCTCTCTCATGCAGCTTTCCTTTTTAACCTTTAGAATATTAGCATTTTCCAGACTACCAGTCAATCCTTATGGGAATGCAAAGGGCTATTGTGATATAGTTTATAGTTCTATGGAATCCCACCAATATAACAGAATCCCATAGTTCAGTATCCCTAATATGAAAGAGAAATGGGGGTGGAGTTTTTGTTTGTATTTTAGTCATGAATATTAAAAGAAGTAACAAGTGAGGTGGGGATCTCAGCGCAGGAAGTGTAATGATTTCTCAGATATTTACATTAACCATTACTTTCACTTCCTTATTTATGCTCCGTGTGACATTGGTGAATGTGATCTTAAAATCTCTCTTGCTGAGTGAACTGATATTTTGCCTCTGTGGCTACTCATGAAATGGGCCTACAGTTCTTCTGTTAGAAATGTATGCTATGGAATATTGACGTGTTTGTTTTATTTATTTTTTTATTTATTTTCCAGCATCTAGTAAACCTTTTTGCTCGCTTGGCCACTGACAACATAGGGTACATAGACTGGGATCCATATGTACCAAAGGTAATATCTATTATTTTTACAAGTGATATTGTTTACCCTGCAATAATATTACACTGACCCTGAAGATATATTTCAGTGTAGGCAATACCAAACATAAATATTCTCTGTAGTCTCTGTTTTGGCCTTGTATAACCATATTTTCAAGCTAGGTATGTGCAGCTGAAAATCTGAATTAACTCTGTGTATAGCTTTGGGAGTTGGCAGTCTTCATCAGTTGACTCAAAAGGATATTACTGTATTGCACCACCCTTCTGTAAACAATTATGCATATGAATAACTTTAAATGCACAAGTAATCCACTTGCAAGAATGAGACCAAGTATGGAACCCCTTTTGAATTAGTTGATGCACAGCACATACGCGCTGAATCTCTGACTTTTGATTTCAAGCTGTTCATAGCATTTTAATACACCTCTACCCCGATATAACACGACCCAATATAACATGAATTAGGATATAACGCGGTAAAGCAGTGCTCCGGGGGGATGGAGCTGCACACTCTGGCGGATCAAAGCAAGTTCGATATAACGCGGTTTCACCTATAACACAGTAAGATTTTTTGGCTCCCGAGGACAGCGTTATATCTGGGTAGAGGTGTATATTAAAATCTTCTGGTGTAAACCAGCTTTTGCCAACTTGGATCAGATTTTGAGGTAGCATGCACATTTTCAAAAGTCCAAAGCTATTTTTGTTTCAAACAATTCCAAATTTGAGTTAATAATGATATAGTGGAATATTTGTTTTTTCTTTGTTGTCACAATGGTCAGAATTCTGGCCAGCTTCCTTGGAAATAGTCCAATTGCATATTGGTATTGAGAAGGATCATATTAATGGCTTTGTGAGGCTAAGTGTAAGTTGTAAGAATACCAAAAAGTTGGAAAGAGTATTTTGGCCAACATTTTTATGTCTCTTTAACTGCTGGCTCATATAGTCACCTGTCCCTTCTTACTGAGAAAACAAGTGAAATTGTGTGACTGATACTTTTAGATATTGCTTGCTTTATTTATTTTAGGAAATTCAGACACAACTTTTTTCACTGGATATTAAACATATGAAATAAATCTCCAGAGAGCTACTAGTCTCATAACACAAGAACTAGGGGTCACCAAATGAAATTAATATGCAGCAGGTTTAAAACAAACAAAAGGAAGTATTTTTCACACAATGCAGTAAACCTGTGGAACTCCTTGCCAGAGGATGTTGTGAAGGCCAAGACTATAACAGGGTTAAAAAAAGAACTAGATAAGTTCATGGAGGATAGGTCCATCAATGGCTATTAGCCAGGATGGGCAGAGATGGTGTTCCTAACCTCTGTTTGCTAGAAACTGGGGAATGAGTGACAAGGGATGGATCACTTGATGATCACCTGTTCTGTTCATTCCCTCTGGGGAACCTGGCCTTGGCCACTGTCAGAAGACAGGATACTGGGCTAGATGGACCTTTGGTCTGACCCAGTATGGCCGTTCTTATGTTCTTAGTCTCCTCACTTCTAAATGATCATCACTTAAATTTTGAATCCTTCATCAGGGGTAAATGTTAACTTCATAAGTTTCCTCAATATTTTGGGTGCTTTATTGCTGAAATTTGGTCTCTTATGAAAAGATTAAATCCCATTTCTCTCGTAATATAAACACCTGTTCTTCTTCGAGTGATGATCCCTATGTGGATTCCAATTGCGGGTGCGCATTTGCGTCATGCGCCAGAGCCGGAACTGCTCATAGTAGCATCTGTTGACCCACACGTGCGTCAACCGCGTGGCGCATCCGAGGCTTTAAGGAGCTGTGTGGGTCGACGCTGCTCCAGTTCCCTCTTACCACCGCATGGCCAGAGTCGGAACCCCTGTTCTTCGGTGCTCTTAGCTTGCTTTGAGTACTGTGTTTCTCCTTTATCTCCTGTATATAGTTCTTTCTTAGTGTAGTTGTCTGTTCTAGTTTCCCCATCCTTAGTTAGTTAGTTTAGTTAGTAAGAAAGATTAATTAATTTCCCCCTTGGTGGGAACTTTCCCCAGCCAGGGGACTATGTCCCGGCAAGCCAGGTTTAAGTACTGCGCTTCTTGCCTTCCCTTGTTCTCTGTGAGCGATAAGCATCCACGCTGCCTCTGCTGCCTCAGCGAGGCACACGTCGCTGTGCATTGCTCTATTTGCCGCTCGTTACCACCCTGAACTAGGGAATCTTGTGAACTTCGCCTCCATAAATTCCTTATGGAGGAGGCAATGCGCCCCTGTGTGCCACCGGATCCGGCACTGGCAGGTCTATCGGACTATTGATTAGCACTGGCGGCCAGCGCCACTCCTGTCCCGTCCCGCCCGGCACTGGTGGCGCTGCTGCATCTGCCCAAGCAGCATTGTGTGCATAAGAAACACACACATGGGCACAAGGGGATCGTCCCAAGCACATTATTTCCTCCCCAAGCCACGCCAAGTCAGGTGAGAAGTCGCACGCTGACAATCAGGCCCCCTCTTCCAAAAGTCTCACTCTGAGCATAAGTCCTGGCACCGTTCTCCAATGGCACCAACCTCGATCTTGGTGACAGCTCTGCTGCCTTTGCCTCTACCGCTGTCCACCCTGCCGGGACCATCTTGTGTCTCCTGTCCTGTTCTGCGCATGCCGGGGTGCCTATCCCTGCTGACACCTGCAGCTCAGCTGAGGCTGCCGTCCCCGCTGCGGCCTGCACTGCTGGCTGCCCTTGGTCCTCCATCCCTGATTGAGGAGCCTCTCCTGTTGATGGACTGCCCTCCAATGCCTCCCGCTGCTCCACCGGTCCCATTGGTACTGACGGCTCCGCTGCTACCAGACCCATCCTCCGAATCGGACTGGTCCTCTGACATGAACCCCACCTTCTTGCTGGTCTGTTCTTACAGCCCGGATCCCAGAAGGCAGCCCTACCAGCCAACTTTAATGGAGGTTTGCCAACCTGTGGTTCGCCTACCCAAGGGGACCATCTGTTCCTAGCGACCCCTAAGCCCGACCCTATTGGGCTGCTTGGGACCCATACCAACGTTGTATGCTCCGTCAGCCCTCTCCATCCACTACCACTGTTTACAATGCTCCTTCAGACGCTCCCGCTCCACTGGCCCTGCAGGTCCGCACCGGTGCCTTTTCATTGCCTGATGAAGCGTTCATTCCTCCCTCCGTCTCGCCTCCTATTGATCATGCCCGGTATCAGGCCCTCCTTTGCCATTTGGTCACTGCCTTCAACCTTCCCGTGGGGGACATCCAGGACCCCCAGGACCAGTTCCTTGATATTCTTCAGTCTCCTGGCCCTGCTTGTACTGCCTTGTCCATCCACGACACCATCCTTCACCCAGCACACACTGGCTTCCTGCATACTCACTCCAAAGTGGGCGTAGCGTCGCTATTTTGTGCCGGCCCATTTCCAGCACCCACCTCAGAATTCCCTGGTGGTCCAGGCGGCCATGGAGCGCGCCCACCACCACCATTTTCGGTCCATGCCTCCTGACCAGGTGACCAAAATACTCAACCTCATCAGGTGCAAGGTTTACTGCTCTGCAGACCTCCAATTATGTATTGCCAGCCATCAAGTGGCCAAATACGACTTCTATTCCTATACCAAACTGGCTTTGTTCCTCAACTTCCTTCCCCCATATAAACAGGATTTTCAGTCACTCATAGAGGAGGGAAAATTGGTGGCCAAAGTCACCCTTCAGACTGCAGTGGACTCCAATGACACTGTCACCTGCTCCCTAGCCTCTGGGGTAGTGCTCCTTTTGACCTACAACCCGCAGTGTGACCCTCTCACCAAACCGGTCCTTCTCCCCACTTCTGTTCTCACCTCCCTCATTTGGTGGTACAACCCATCCTGGTGGACATCCCATTCATGCCTCCAGTGCCATGCACCACCCCCACTACTGATGCCTACCTGGCAATCTGGGGCACGCATGTGGACGGACACGCAGCCAGGGCCTCTGGTCGCCCAGAGAGGCAAGAATGCACATCAGCGTTCTTGAACTTCGTGCCATTCACTTAGCCTGCTGAATGTTCCTGCCACTGCTCCGCTCCTGCCATGTCCAACTGCTCTCCAACAACATGCAACGGTTGTCTATGTCAACAAGTAGGGTGGGGCACGTTCCCCCTCCCGCTGTGCGAACGCCATCCTCCTCTGGAATTGGTGCCTCAAACACGACATCACTCTCCATGCTGTGCATCTTCCTGGCACGAGTAACTCTCAGGCGGACACCCTCAGTCGCTCCTTCCATGCCAACCACGAGTGGGAACTCCATGACCCCACACTCCACTCTGTTTTTTGCCAGTGGGGTACACCTCGCTGGGATTTCTTCGCCACGACAGACAATCTCAAACTTCCTCTCTTCTGTTCCAGGGAAGCCCTTGGCCTGGGATCTCAGGGCGAAGCCCTTCTACTTCCTTGGACCACCTTCCTTCCACTGTGTCTTCCCGCCCATTCCTCTGTTTCCACAAGTCCTACACAAAATACAGTGGGATCAGGCAACCGTCATCTTTGTGGCCCCCACTTGGCCTCAGCAGTACTGCTTTACGGACCTCCTTCTCCTCTCCATCTACCCCCCAGTTCGCCTCCCCAATCTCCTGACGCAACCCATGGCCGCATACGACACCCCAACCCCAGCCCTCTTCACCTCGTGGGCTGGTATTTGGATGGAGCTCGCGGATAGACGCGGCATGTTCTGCTCTTCTTCCATCCACGACATCCTTACACACAGCAGGTGACAGTCCACTAGAGTTTGCTATCAGGTGAAATGGCGCTGCTTCACCATTTGGATGTGTGACTATGGCTATTCCCTGGACGCTATCTCTATGCCTGTTGTCCTGTCCACCTCCTCCACCTCCGGTACTCTGGCCTCACCCACTCCTCCATTCATGTACACCTGGCGGCATTCAGTGCCTTTCTCCCCCCCAGTGGATTGCTTTTCCGTCTTCATTCACCCAACTACTGTCTGCTTCCTCCGTGGCCTTCTCAATGCCTTTTCCTCGATCCGCAAGTAGACCCCTACCTGGGACCTTAACTTGGTCCTCTCAATCCTTGCTAAGCCGCCCTTTGAACCTCTTGCCCCTTGCTCCCTCGCCCACCTCTCCATGAAGGTGATCTTCTTGGTGGCCATTACCTCCGCACTATGCGTCAGTGAACTGACGGCCACGATGGCAGACCCTCCCTTCACTGTCTTGCACAAGGACAATGTCTCCCTCCACTTCCACCACAAATTCTTCCCCAAAGTGGCATCCCCATTCCACCTTAATCAATTCATACATCTCCCCACCTTCTACCCCAAACTACATACCTCCTCCAGACACCACATGCTTCATTCCCTGGACATACGTATGGTGCTGGCATTCTACCATCAGCACATCTGCAGCTTCCATGCTTTCTCCTGCCTTTTCATTGCCATTTCCAACCGTTATTGGGGCTGCATGCTCTCCTCACAACGCCTCTCCTGCTGTATTTGCTGCTGTATTGTGGACTGCTATACTATCTCTCATGTTCTTTTGTATTGCTTCCATCAAAAAAAGTGGTGGGCATTATTAATCTTGTTATTTATTAAACCCAGTGGGTTGAGAATTTTCTCTTTAATTTCATGTTCCTTTTTATGGTTATGGAACTGCATTTGAATCATACTTGCCTGTTTTTTATTTTTTTCATTCAAACTTAACATTTCTTTGTTCTCCCATTTCTCTATTTTGCCTTATCTAAGATCCCCAAACACATTGGTATGGTTTGAATCTCCATTATTAGCTGTAACACCTAGTTGCCAACTATAAGGAGATGAATACAAGGACTCTTATGCCCCATCCTCAAGCTTCTGGTGCAGAAGAAGTATGTGGGGATAGGACACTAAAAACTAACTTTCCTTCCATCTACACAAACTATAGGTGCATGGAAGAAGCTGCTGGCACCCATTTTCCCTCTCAAACCTATAACATCAACAAAAATATTGGAATAAAAATAAATAACTCCTTGCTTGTCTATGGTACCTTTTCTAACTGAAAAGAAGTTGCAGTTGGAGTGCCCCACAGCAATTCTTGGAAAACACTCTTGTTTACAGTACACACAAATCATTTGGAATACTGTACTAGGTAGAAGTTCAAATTGTAACAATAACCAAACTATTGCATAATTTTTAACCTGATTTTAGTTCTCCAGTACCAGCAGTTTGAATCTCAGACCCCTGGGTGTTTAGTATCATGGTAGTTCTCCTACAATCATGCGTTTAAATGTATTTTAGCTTTATGTGAAAACTGTTTGTCTCCGAGTAACCCCTTGAAGCTGGGACCTAAAATTGTATCTGTTATGTCCACTGCTAAGAATGGAACCTGCAGTAACTACAAGTAGCCAATGACTAAATGCATATGTGATGTTTTGTTACTCAGATGTTTATGCTAGCAAATTAATAACAACCATGCAGGAACTATTGCCCCATTAAAAGTATTGTACAGAAACTTATTATAAATAGTATTAAGTAATAATATTACCTTTTTTAACAGATATTTACAAGGATTTTGAGAAGTTTGAATCTTCCAGTGGGAAGCGGTCAAGTTTTAGTTCCAAGATTCTTAACAAATGCTTATGATATAGGACATGCAGTAATGTGGATCACAGCCATGATGGTTAGTATTCTTTTTATATAGTATATTAAAAACTGGTAATGAAAAGCTCTGAACAGCTGTATAGCTAAAATGATTAAAGTGTCTGGGTATTCAGCTTCAGCAGATGCTTATTTCTGAGGCTTTCTTTGCCCAATGTTTATTTAAAAGTAGTGCCTTATGGTTGGTTGGGGATATGGGACATAAGGCTTATTTCAGGGCTGCTCTAAGTGGCACTTTGGAAATGAGCTGCCAGCTCATTGATTTAAAGTCCAGTACAAGCATGAAGTTTGTCCATAGTGATGTTCTTCAGAGATGCTGTACAAACAGGATTCTCATTCTTGGGTCCTGAGTTCCCATTAGCCAAAGGATTTGGGCTCTTTTTTTTGGTCTTCTGAGGCTCTGGTTGTGGTAATTGTTACTATCACTTTCCAGTCTCGCTGGGTATTGTGTCCTTTATTTATACAAGTCCTTAGTTACAGAAAATTAGTTCTTCTTTGAGTGCTTGCTCATATCAATTCCATTTTAGGTGTGCGCGCACCCACATGTGCGGCCCTCGGAGATTTTTGCCTTAGCACGACACATAGGGCTGTGGCATCCTCTAGAGCACCGCGGCATGAGCGCGGTATATCAGGCGCCACCGGCGCTATGCCCTCTCAGTTCCTTCTTACCGCCCGTGGTGGTCAGTCAGAGCACCTTTGTTAAGTGTGTGTTAGTTAGTAGTTAGCGTCCCAGCGGGATTTTGCCCCAGGCGGGGCATGCCTCGGTCTCCCGGGTTTAAGCCCTTCTCGCACTGCAGCAGGCCTATGCCTGTGAGTGACACCAACGGCAACTGCCTTAAGTGCCTGGGGGAGTCACACGTTAAGGAGCGGTGCCGGTTCTGCAAAAACTTTTGGCCCCCACACCCAGAAAGAGCAGGACATCCGCCTCATGGCTCTCCTGATGGGGTCTGCCCTCCTCCTGGCTTCTGAGCCATTCAGGCAGGTCACACCGAGTGCCTCAGCCTCCGTGCGCTGGCACGCGGCTCCTCCCGGCACCATTCGCCATCACCTGTGCCGAAGAGGAAGGCCAAGAAGCACTGCCGGGCACTGAGCAAGAAGGCCCAGGGGTCATCTACCAACGGACCCAGGCCTGCCCACCAAACTGCTCCGGAGCCACACGATCATGCCTCTCCAGTTGGGGCAACCTTAAAGGTCCATCACCGATTCCTGGGAGCGGTATGGTACCCACATTCCTGCCTGCACCTTTGTCATCCGAGGCTCCCTCGGCGCAGGGAGAGCACAGATCGCCACCTACTCCGATGATGACCCCAGTGCCTCAGGACCCTGCTAAGGCTCCCTAAGAGGGCAAGCCTGCCATTAAGACCCCTCAGGGGACAGGGGAACAACTCTGATTGCCGGACAGAAGGCGTCGCTCTTTGCTGCTGCGTCGGGAATCCCGGGGCAGATCCTAATCGCATCACTGGTCACCCAGGCAAGCTTCCAGATCCTTTGTGCTACTCTGTAGCATGGGGTCAATGCTCCCCTTTCTATTCCCGGCACCGCTCGCTTTCTTGATGGTCATCCTCTAGGCATTGGTCCCCATCACTGGCATGGTGGGAATGTTCCCCCTCCCAGTACTGGTCTCCCTGGCACCAGTACCACTCTCCACGCTATAGCTACCTTTCAGTTACGCCTGGGCAATGATCACCGATAGCCATGACCAGCAAACAAACGCAGACGTTGACAGCTCCTCCCTGGTTGCTGGAAGAGGGTTCCTCCGGTATGGAGGGCCAGTCCAGCTGATCGCCAAGGTCTCATTGGCCTGATTGGGCACCGGAGTCCACTCCCTCATCTGTGGCACCACAATGGCAGCATGACCAGTGGCCAGCATGGTGGCCTTATTGGAGTGCATGGGGCATACTGGTTGTGACGATGCCTCCTTCGCAGCACTCCTCGGTGGCCATGGCGGAAGATCGGGTGGTGGCCCCACCAGCACCAGACCCGGTACTGGAAGCCCATTCTGAGGTCGGGGTGGAGGAACCTGTGCTCATCCCAAAGCCTCTTTCTCAGATGGTGGTCAAGGTGACAGCACCCCCACCGGCGGTCCAGTCTTCCTCGTCATCCCCAGACGAGGCGGTCGTAGGACCTTACAGAGCTAGACCACCGATGACATCAGGTAACATCAAGCCTTTTTCCAGCGTGTGGCTGAGCACTTGGGGCTCGAGGTACAGGAGATGGGGGAGCAGGAGAACATCCTCTTCAACGTCCTCTCAGCCTCTACGCCCACCTGGGTCGCCCTGCATGAGGGGGTCCTCAATATAACCAAGGCCTTGTGGCAGACCCCCTCCTCCATCCCGCCCACCTCGAAACGGGCCGAGAAAAAGTACTTTGTGCCGGCCAAAGGTTTCAAATACTTCTATACTTACCCGCCCCCGGGCTTGATGGTTGTATCTGCAGCCAAAAAAAAAGACAAGCAGGTCCCCACCTCCTCAACTCCCAAAAACAAAGATGCTAAGAAACTTGATTTATTTGGGAGAAAGATTTATTCTACTGCCAGCCTGCCATTTCAGGTGGCAAACGATCAGGTCCAGCTGGGCCGGTACAATTTTAATCTCTGGGACAGTCTCAAAAAGTTCCAGGAATCCTTCCCTCAGGGTTTGGCCCAAGAGTTTGGCACTCTGGTGGAGGAGGGTACGGCGGCGGTCAGATGATCCCTGCAAATGGCATGGAACATGGCAGACTCGACAGCAAGGGTGGCCACATTGATGGTAATGTAGTTCCTGGCTCCAGTAGGCCTCTCCCAGGAGCTGCAGGCCTCGATTCAGGACCTCTCCTTTGATGGAGTTGGTTTGTTCTTGGATCAAACAGATGCCAGGCTGCGCGGGTTGAGGGACACTAGGGCTACCCTTCGCTTGTTGGGCATGCACATGCTGTAATCAGCCAGGAAGCCCTTCCGGCCACCGCCACTGCCAAGACCCTGGCAGCCTCATCAGGGACCTACAAGGAGAAGGGATGCTAGTTTTAGTAATCGTTGCCCTTCTTCCTCCTGCTCGACAGCCCAGCCTGGGACAGCCAAACACCCAGGGGGCCAGAAGAGATGGTTCTGAGAGTGTGCTTGAGAGTGACGCCCCAGTCAGTCGACCGGATCCTAACCGTGGGACTGCTGGGTCCTGGACATAGTGGCTTGGGGCTATACCCTGCAGTTCTTGGCTGCCCCTCCTTCCCCCCCCCCCCATTTTCCTGTCTCTTTTCAGAGACCTTTCTCACATGCAACTCCTCGTTCAGGAGGTAGAGAAGCTCCTGGGCTTGGGGGCTGTGGAGAAGGATCCTCGGGACATTGAACCAAGAGGATTCTACTCTTGCTACTTCCTAATCCCAAAGGGCAAAGGAGGCCTCAGGCCCCTCCTGGACCTGTGTGGTCTCAGCAAGTCTCTCAAGAAATTGAAGTTCTGCATGGTCTCCCTGGCCTTCATCATTCCTTCCCTGGATCCGGGGGCCTAGTACGCTGCTCTTGACTTGAAGGACACTTACTTTCATGTCTCCATATTCCTGGGCCACAGGTGCTTCCTGCATTTCATAGTGGCTGGGCGTCACTTCCAGTTCACGGCATTACCTTTTGGCCTGTCTTCGGCCCCCAGGGTGCTCACAAGGTGTGTGGCGCCGGTAGCAGCTTACCTGGGGTGGGGGTCCAGATCTTCCCGTATCTCGATGACTGGCTCATCAAGGGCAGGTCTCCAGAGCAGGTCTGATGGAGCCTCAACCTGGTGCGGTTCATCTGCAACGAACTGGGCCTGTTAATAAACACAGAAAAGTCCACGTTAACGCCGGCCCAATGCATAGAGATTATTGGAGCGGTTCTCGACTCAATGCGAGTGAGGGCCTTTCTTCCGGAAGCTTACTTCCAGGCCATGTTAGACTTGATTGCCCACGTGAAGAGCCATCCGCTTACCACAGCCCATGACTAATGGGCCACGTGCACGTACATAGTCAGCCATGCCTGTCTTCATCTACGACCTCTGCAGGCATGGCTGGCCTCGGTCTATATCCCCAGCAGATACGTCCTGGACCGAGTGGTCATGGTGCCAAGCCACGTCTCTCTTGTCCTTGGACTGGTGGCTGGATCCAGAGTCAGTGCTGCAGGTGGTTCCCTTCGTGACCCCGTCTCCGTCGCTTACCCTGGTTTCAGACGCATCTGACCTGGGCTGGGGAGCCCATCTGGGCGAGCTCAACACCTAGGGCCGCTGGCTATACAGCGATCTGGCCCTTCATTTGAATGTCATGGAGCTCAAAGCGGTTCGCCTGGCCTTCCAGGCATTCTTGTTCCACCTGACGGGCAGGGTGCTGCAGGTTCAGATGGACAATACCACCACGATGTACTACATCAACAAGCAGGGCGTAGCCAGGTCTTGGGCCCTTTGTCGGGAAGCGCTCAGCCTCTGGAACTTTTGTGTGCAACATGCCAGTCATCTGGTAGCTGCCCACCTGCCTGGAGCCAAGAACATCCTGGCAGATCGCGTCAGCAGGACCTTCTTGATGGCTTGGCTGCTGCGTAGTTGATTGCGGACAAATGGGGGTGTTCCGCTGGTGTCCAGCAGGTCCTGCTGGGCAACAGAAAACCGTCCACCAGGGCTACATATGGGGTGAAGTGGAAGCAATTCATGTGTTGGGTCTCGAACCGACACATTCGTGCGGAAGAGGCCCTGCTGCAGGACATCCTGGTTTATTTACTGTACCTTAAGCACAAGGGTCTGTCATTACCTTCGATCAAGATATACCTGGCAGCCATTTCGGCGTTCCACCCTCCTCTTCAGGGCCGGTTGGTCTTTGCCCATCCCATGACAGGGAGCTTCCTGAAGGGTTTGGAGCGCCTTTACCCACATGTCTGAGACCCGGTCCCCCCTTGGGATCTGAATCTTGTTCTGTCCATGCTCAGGGGTCCTCCCTTCATACCCTTGGCTTCCTGCTCCCTTCTGCTTCTCTCCTGGAAGGTCTCCTTCTTGGTTGCTGTAACTTCAGCCCATAGGGTGTCCAAGATCAGGACGCTCACGTCAGAGCTGCCCTATATGGCCTGTAAGGACAAAGTCCAGCTGCGTTCACACCTGGCCTTTCTGCCCAAGGTTGTCTCCCAGTTCCACACTGGTCAAGACATTTACTTACCAGTCCTTTGTCCAAAGCCTCGTGCGACATTCTACATTGATAGAACAAAGCAATTCCGTAAATCAACACAGTTGTTTGTTGCTGTCGCTGACAGGATGAAAGGTTGCCCAGTGTCAGCCCAGAGAATCTCGTATTGGATCACGACCTGCATCGGCTACTGCTATGAGCTGGAAAAGGTGCCCCAGCCGGCGATCATGACGGCTTATCCAGCTAGGGCGCAGGTGTTATCAACAGCCTTCCTGGCACGGGTGGCAATCCAAGAGATCTGTCGGGCTGCAAACTGGTCGTCCGTCTACACATTTGCGTCGCACTACGCACTGACCCAGCAGGCTTGAGACGATGCTGGCTTTGGCAGAGCAGTGTTGCAAGCTGCGAGACTGTGAACTCCAAGCCCACCTCCATTGATTCTGCTTGTGAGTCACCTAGAATGGAATCGACATCAGCAAGCACTCGAAGAAGAAAAAAAGGTTACCTACCTTTCGGAACTGTTGTTCTTTGAGGAGTTGTGTTGCTCATGTCCATTCCATTAGCCACCCTCCTGCCCCTCTGTTGGAGTTGTCGGCAAGAAGGAACAGAGAGGGTGTAGGGCTGGCAGCACCTGATATACCACGGCATAAGTGCGGTACTCTAGAGGGCACCACAGCCAGCCCTAAGGCAAAAATCTCCAACGGGGAGACACGTGAGCATGCGCACACCTGGAATGGAATGGACATGAGCAACACATCTCGAAGAACAACAGTTACGAAAGGTAGGTAACCTTCCTTACCCCCTCCCACCACCCCCACCCCATAAATGCCTCACCCATTAGAGTACAATGGGGAATCCTAATCCTATGTTTTCTGTCATCAGTCTGTTACTATAAAATATTATAAATTCTTTATAGCTTCATTGCAGGACAGAGTACATTGTATTGAAATAAAACAAACTTCAGGTCGGTTTCATTAGAGTTTTATTGTTACTAGAGTTGCAACTTAGCTCAGTGTTTACAGTCCAAATTTTCGTGTGTCTACCTCGCATCCTGTAAGGATAATTAAAGAATCATGAATTTAATTTTGGATGACGTTACAAGTGGAGCTGAAATTCACTGAAATGGAGCTATGTTGTTTCATCAAATAATGTAAAGAAATGCCAACAATAACATTTACAAAAAGAAGGTTTCTAGCATTATGCTATAGCCTGCCAACATTACTACATGGAATGAATTAATCATTCTAAGTAGCTGCCCTGTTCTAAATTGAAATATCTGTTCAGGAAGCATACATTTAGGTTTGTAGTGGTCCCTTGCTCTGAAGGGGGAGGCAGGTCACTCTGCCTAGCTGTGTCAGGCAACAGCACTCGGGCTCCGGTCCTGCTGGTGGGGCTGAGCAGTAAGAAGTCTACAGCTCTGTAGCTGCCTAGCAGAGGCAAACAAGCAGTAACAGTCTGATGCTCTAGCTCCCTTGGGTGGGGTAGAGCAGTCTTTAGCCCACAGCCTCCTGGCTGGGACTGGCAGTAATTAACAGTCTAAGCCTCTGGCCCTTTGGGTGGGACAGAGCAGGGAGCAGGCTTTAGCCTAAGCCTCCTAGATAAGGCAGCCAGCAAACACACAGTCTAAGGCTCACCGTCTCCTGATGGGGACAAGCCACAAACCAAACACAGGCCTTCTGGCCTAGGGTGCAAACACTGCCACCCCTGGGATGGGGTTGGTGGGAGGGAGGCGGTAGAGGGACCCGGACCCATACGACTCCACTGGGTCCCAGCCCAGGGCCCTAACAGTGGTGGAGTGTTCTGCCACTGGGTCAGCGGGTTATCCAGCCACAACATGCTGACCCCTGCTCTGGGAACCAAACCAGACTAAAGTCTGGTTTCCCATGACTACTTCCTATCACAGTCTGGAGAGAGGGTTCTGTAGTCCAAGGGTTCTCTGTCTCCTCAGGGTACACTGTGCACGGCAGTGCTGGCAACTCCTCTCTAAGAGTGGTTGTGATGGGTTCCCGACCTGGAACTGGGGTACCACTGAGCCCCCCTGAACCACCAGCCTGGGCTCCCTTTACACTGTACTGCTGTGACCAACCTGCACTTTCACCAGCACACATACAGATAGGGGCACACCCAGCTGCAGTTACATGCAGATGCTGTGATCAGCTCTGCATGGGAAAGGTCCTGCTAAGGAACTTCCCAGCTACTCAGCACCCACTCTGAAGTGTAAACCCAAAATTATACTGTCTTGCACTGCACAGGGAACTGTATAGTGTAAGTTCATGAAATTTGCCCCCTCCCTCAATGTGGAGAGGAATATACAACAGCTTTCTGCCCCTGAGTTATGACTCCCGTAAATGCTGGTTTTAGACAAAGCAAAAACAAATTTATTAACTACAAAAGATAGATTTTAAGTGATTATAAGGGATAGCAAACAGAACAAAGCAGATTACCTAACAATAAACAAAACACGCAAACTAAACTAGATCGGATATGAATATCAAATCCTCACCCTAAGTGATGATACAAGCAGGCTGCAGATTCTTAAGGGGCAAGCTGCACTAGCTTACAGCTTGGAATCCCCAGGTGTTCCATTCACAGGCTAAAAATCCCTTTAGCCTGGGTCCAGCACTTCCCCCAGTTCAGTCTTAGTTCCTCAGGTGTTTCCAGGAGTCTCTTTGGGTGGGGAGTCAGTGAAGAACCACGATGATGTCACTCCCCTGCCTTAAATAGCCTTTGCATATGGCAGGAACCCTTTGTTTCAAAGCTTGGTTCCCACTCCAGTCAGCGGAAAAACACTCATATCCCAAGATGGAGTCCAGCACCAGATGAAATGGTCACATGTCCTTGTAGTGTCATAGCAGCCATGAGTCGGAGGCTGTTTGTAGCGTCCTCAGGAAGGCACCCCAGGTTCGAAATAAGCTTCTTCTAAGGCCTATTGTTCTCCCTAATGGTTCATTAACTTGAATGGACCTTTCCCAGCCAGCCATCTAGACTGAGAGTCCTTTGTCTAGTGTCTAGTTCCCCATGTGTGCTCACATTTGTAACACACATACATAGTCAATATTCCTAACTTCAGATACAAAAATGATACATGCATACAAATAGGATAACCATATTCAGTAAATCATAACTTTTTCAATGATATCTCAGATGACCTATCTTGCATAAAATACATCAGAATTATGCCATAATCAGATCATGTATAATAATATCTCTAGGAAGAATATGGGGTGCAGTGTCACATAGTCTCCTCCGGATGCAAGGCGTTGCACAGCGTGGGCTTGGCTGTGGCAGCAGACTGGAGAGGTCTATCTTGTTCTGTGGCTCCTGTTCAACTGAGCTGCAGGGCCTTTCCTATAACTTCCAGTCCCACCCTGGTACTTCCGGTTAGGGGGGAGGGGCAGGTCTGGCTCCGCCCACCGGAGGAATTAGTGGTCCCTCGCTCTCAAGTCTGGAGGGAGGCCACTCCACCTCGTTACAAGGTTCAAATCTCAAGTAACTTGCTTTTTATTCTTACTGACTTATAGCTGTGCTGCTTTTAATACTAGGTTAAGATCCATCCTATTAACTTTCTCAGCATATATAGAAATTTGAATATGAATTTTTAAGAGAAATCAGCCACCCCACTTACAATGATATATATTTAGATTTGGCAAAATTTGATTTTTATTTTTTTATAATTTTGATCAATAATATTGATGTTTATTTTTAAGCATTTAAAATTTTTTTATCTATTTAAATTTTCACAGTTTTGAGAAATTATGGGAGGGGGTGTCAAACAATAATTATTTAATGGGAGTATGCATTGAGATTTAGTAAAATTAAAGCTTTATAACTGGTAAAACACAAGTTGTCAACATCACTTCAGAGTATGCAAAACAAATTTTCTTAAACGAAACTCTACGTTCTCAAGCAGTATTTTTCTTTCTTAACCTATCTGTAAATTTTGATTATCATTCATGGAAATATTTTTTCGTTGATTTGTTGATGGTGAAACTGATATAACCCAATAACAATCTAATCCTTCCAAGCCTATGTATATTTCTTTTAATTATTAGGCTTCCTATGTCTGGTCTTGGGTATTTTTAGTGACACTGCCATTCTTCACTAAAAGCTAAACAAAAGTTCAGTCTCCTTTGCACAGTAAATTGAATTTGTCTTCAATAAAATGTTACGAGAATATTGCAGTTTTCTTTTTCCTACACATCTTCCTCAGACCGTAATATTGCATAGCGTTTGTAATATGTAAAAAGATACTTAAGAAAGATAGTTCTAAAAATAGACAGAAGGGGAATTCTTGCAAACTTTAAAACTCTTCCTGTTCACAAGAACAGAAGAAAAGCATAGAGAGATAATAGAATATTTCTGTGACCAAAAACAAGCCCAGTGACTTTAGTTAATTGTTTGTTAGTTAAACCATGTTGCTTTTGTTATGGAAGGATATTATATTGATCTTTAACTTGTCTCGTGACGCTGAAGAATCTATTTTGGGTAGGTTAAACTTGTTTTCTGACCTCGACAGTGTCCTTTTTCATGCTCTTCCTGTTAAGTAGATTAAATATATATGTATTTGGTTTTGGACAGGGTGGACCAAGCAAACTAGTACAGAAGCATTTGTCTGGATTATTCAATAGCATTGCATCTTTTTACCATCCTTCAAATAATGGTCGCTGGCTGGTGAGTTTGTTATGCTTTTATTTTAAGACTAAAGATTTTAAATTTGGAGTGGGATTATAATTTTATCATGAATTTTTCTCTACTGTGCTCTTCACTTTTAATAAGAGTGTATACTGCTTTATGCAAACAATTTCATCCTATAATAGATTACTATGGACTATGTATATACCTTAGAAAATAAACTTCCAAGAAAACACTAGTGTGATGGGTGAAATTAAACTGAAAAGGAGCCAGAAAAATACCGCTATCTATTAAGAAAACATGGATTATTTTTTAACTGTCTACAGTACAAGATGTGAAAATGAACATGTCAAATTAAACTTGATGCTAGTCTCTATTGTGTCTGTCAGTTTTTCAAGCACCTAGTAAAACCTGATTTTGGAATAATGGATAGTATGATTCTAGTGTCTGAAGCACACTTTCTTAGTTAAGAGAATATGATACAATGTTGTCCTACGTTTGTAAGTATAGTGGAATCTAACTTTGATCAATCAACATGAACTGAGCTTTTGTTAAAAGCGCAGCTAAAAATTCACTATTTAACATTTTATGCTATTTTTGTTCTAATATTTAGTGTTGAATTTAGACAGTTTTCACAGTTAAAGTTGATGTTACAGTTCTCAACAGAACTGGATTTTTCTATATCTCTCACTGCACAGTACGTTTGAGAGATAAAATGAGCATTTTTAATCTCCAACAATTATGTTTAATTAGAAGTATCCTAGAAAAACATATGAAAAATTATTGGGTCCCATTCTGCCTTCAGACAACTTGAATGGGAGTTGCTTGTGTGTAAGTTAGGGCAGAAAGGAGCTTACTAAAAGGCAATTTACTGTTGCAGATATCTCTGGTGCAGATATTTCTGGTGCAAATATTACTGGTGAACAATTCGCTGCACTGAATTCCAGCAGTACTGTCATAAATTAGGTTTGGTTCACAGACCAGGTTAATGTAGTCAGTCTTTCTAGGTGTTTTTCACATTAACTCTTTGTCACTGGGAATAGATATTTCTTGACCCATGTGAATAGTGGACACAAGGGCAGGTGCCTTTCCCAACCTGCTTTGCAAATACAGTCCATGAAGTGGGATAGATCCCTTAACAACCTTAAAGCTGGGTTTCTTGACCCCCAGAGGATCCTTGGATGGCTTAGAGGTATTGTAGTGGGTGCTCTACCAGGCAGTGCAGGGCCTCTCCCCTGGTAGCTGCCACAAGTTAGTGGCAAGGCTGCTCTAACTCATGCTAGGGGCCTGCCTCATTCCTGAGCAGCTCCAAGATCACAAGGGTGGATTACATATTCCAGAATATTCCCATAAATGTGAATGTGCAGAGGATATGCTTGAAGATCTCCATTGCTGGTAAGTAATCTTCATTTATCTGATTTTTTTCTAGAGCTAATTTAGTCATTGTACAAAATATATAAGCATGTGTTTTAAATGTTTATAGAAATTATTAGGAATGACAAATACAGTGTAGCTTGTAAAGTTCTGGGAACTGGATTCTCATAGTGAATTCTGAACATTTAGATTTACTACATTCCTGCGGTTCTTATCCATTTTGAGCAACTGTCCTGAAGTTAACACAGCTTATTTTTGAGTTCTTGGTATAGGAAGGATATATCAGGGTTTTGCCACTGTCCATTCTCGCTGCTAATTACTTGAAATTGATTGTTTCCTCTGGTTATATATCCAACAGAACAAGCTGATGAAACTGCTTCAAAGGTTACCAAGTAGTGTTGTTAGAAGACTGCATCGTGAGCGTTACAAGAAGAAGACTTGGCTAACTCCTGTGCCTGATAGCCATAAACTTACTGATCAAGATGTTACAGACTTTGTAGAATGCATTATTCAACCTGTCCTTTTGGCTATGTTTAGTAAAACTGGAAGCCTAGAGGCTGCTCAAGCCCTACAAAATCTTGCACTAATGCGTCCTGAGTTAGTAATTCCACCTGTACTTGAAAAGTAAGTTATAATGAAACAATGAAGAAACGTTACTGCAAATAGAAGTTCAGAGCTTGCCCCACCAGCTGCCATAGTGAGCCACAGAAGTATTTCCATGATGAAGGGGAGTACTTGGGCTGGGGGAGCTACTGAATTAGATCGCATACCACACCCATCCCTGCAACTAGGTTAGTCGGGGTGTTGCTAAGTGAAGGAGGAAGTGCTTTTTAGTTTTTGTGCTCGACTGCTCCCTGGCTCCTGGAATGGCTGGGGCTGTTGCTAGCTAGCATAAATTAGAATTGCCTTCAGGCTGCTCTAATTTATGATGGAGACTGTCACCAGACAGTTTCAGGATCAACTGTGAGCCAATTTTGCACCCCTCACTCCTGAGCTGTGCTGAGCTCTTTGTCGCAGCTCAAAATCTGGGCCAAAGTTTAAATAAGTATATTTAATGTTATTTGAGTAGCAAAAAGTGTGTAATATATTACATACTTATATTGATTTTTCAGTTTTCTTTGACAAATGATAGATTGTATTGTTACAGGTAAGTAAAAAAATTTGCTTTGATGTTGCCTTTGATTTTACAAGAAAACTGCAAAAATAGCACTCATCTGGAATGCTTTGGGCCCCCCAACTATAATTGAAATTCACTATAAAAATCAAATGAACTGGCAACAACATAATCCCCTTTACTGTTCTTAACATGTCCCTCCAAAGGGTCAAAATTGTAAAACCATTGCACCCTCCCCTTCCTGAGAAAACAATTGAACTTTGCAGTGTCTGAAAAATTAACCTCCCACATTCCATATCTTACGAGTCAAGTGTACATATAGACTTATTTACTCGCTACATTTGTTACATATATAAAAAATAACATAACTGCTCTTCTAAGTAAGGCAACAGTGGTAATGTATTTATTCTGGGTTAGGGATGACTGCATAATTGAGTGGTGGAGCATAATAAGGCTTAGTGCTAAATGCTATTGTCTCAATACACCTAATGCAGTGCTCTGTTCTGTGTAGGCACAGCTGAGACTTGTAATTTAGTGTGTTTTGAATGAAGTAGTGCAGATGTGACATGGTGAGTCAGTATGTACTTGAACTGTCGTGACAATAATAGGAATTATTTCACAATTCTCACTATATGGGGTGCTAAAACATGCCCGATATAAAAAGGCACAGGACAGATAAAATTCAACTCCAATATTTTATTTGTGTAATAAATGTGAGCTTTAATTTTTAGCAAGATGTCTTCAAATACAGGGCTTTCTTCAGTTAACGGGTTAATATAAAACTATTAAATGTTACATCTTCATTTAATTTTGATATTTAGAGACAATAAAGACCAAGATTTTGTCCTACATATAATTTTTAAAATCCATAAGGCTCTCATATTTTAAATATACCTGAACCATTTATCTAGATAGTATTTTAATAATATTGGCTTTTTTGACTGACCCATACACCTGTAATGGTCAGTCTTTAGTTTTTTGTTTTGTTTTTTTAATTTTATAGCCCTAGATCTAGTCCAGACAATGTACTGGAATCACCCATAATTTATCCAACAATAATTCTATGGGACACTGGTGGTGAACAGTTCTGTTCAGATGAGGAGCATGTTTTAAAAGAAAGGAGTTATTAAATTCACTGTGCAGTGAAATACAACAAAAGGTTTGGACTATTGGATAATTTCTAAAAGGAACATTTTAAATTGACATAGTATTGTTTATCTAATTTCATCAGATATGGTTTTTCTTTTAGAAGTTTAAAATTTTTAGCTGTTTTTAATCTGGCTTTTTCTTCACTATGTGTAGAACATACCCTGCACTAGAGACATTGACAGAACCTCATCAGCTCACAGCTACTTTAAGCTGCGTAATTGGAGTATCTCGTAGTCTGGTGTCTGGGGGCAAGTGGTTTCCTGAAGGTCCAACACACATGCTACCTCTGTTGATGAGAGCATTGCCTGGTGTGGATCCAAATGACTTCAGTAAATGCATGGTAAGTATATAAATCTCAGATTTTCCTAAAGTATAAAATACAGTCTGCCTATTTAAGATTATTTCGAAGGCTCTTTAATTTTCATCTCCGAGTAAATGGAGCTTATGTTTCCAAAGGATTTTTAGGTCACTCTTCATATTAAGGTTCCATTTATAAAAGATTAATAAATGATTAATAGATGTTATAAACATATTACAGCTATGAGTAATGTGTGTACATAGATAACCATCAGTGCATCAGTAAAATGTACAGATTATAAGCAATTTATTGACCTCCATAAAAATATCAGTTGATTAACCATTTAGTAAATCACCCATAATTAGGGCTCCATGTCTGTCATGGAGGTTGTGGAAGTCACGGATTCTGTGACTTTCCGTGACCTCCGTGATTTCTACAGGTGCCTGATCCCAATGCTGCCCAAGTAGCTGGCTCCCGGGACAGTCATACCAGCCGCTGCAGGAGCGGCTTGCAATGGGTTGGCTAGCTTATGCTGAAGCCTATGCTGTCATATCTTCATTACTGTTATCACCTGCACTAACTAGATTAAAGATAGCACAGTGCCCCTACCTGCATTACAATTGCACCTTAATTTGCAGTGTGGACATATCCTAAGGGTCTGATCTAAAATTCACTGAAGTAAATGGAAAGGTTCTCACTGACTTCAGTGGGCATTGGATCAGGTCTTAAATGCCCATATCTTAGGGACTCATGCTGATCAAGTATTTAAATAATGTATACTTGACACCTAATGATGTCACTTTCACATTTGGTGCATCTTTCAATATAGCATACCTATTGTGACAGGGCAAGGCCAGATGGCTATAGTAAAGTAGTGGGAGACGGCTATATTAGGCACAGGCTAAACAAATCCCTGTTACCAGGATAAGCAAATGGCAGCTGCTCCAGGTCAATTAAGATACTTGGGGCCAATTAAGATCTTTCCAGAAGGCAGGGAGGACAGCTAGGTTTATTGGGACACCTAAAGCCAATCAGGGGCTGGCTGAAACTAGTTAAAAGCCTCCCAGTTAGGTGGACGCGTGTGTCAGGAGCTGTAGGAGGAAGCCGTGCTGTTGGAGAGACTGAGCAATACAAACCATATCAGGCACAAGGAAGGAGGCCCTGAGGTAGGGGTGAAGTGGATATTGAGGAATTAGGGGCTGCTGAGGGGAAGTGGCCCAGGGAATTGTACGCGTCCTGTTTCTAAAAAGTCAGCTACCATAGCTGATACTATTAGGGTTCCTGGGCTGGAGCCCGGAGTAGAGGATGGGTCTGAGCTCCCTCCCCCTTCACCCCTGATTAATAACTGAGACTGGGAGACAACAGAGACTGTGGAAGCGAGGGTAGCTTCTCCTCACCTCCCTTGCTGGCTTATGATGAAAATGGCTCAGTAGGCTGTGACCCTTGCTTCTAGAAAAAGAAGAGCCACGTGGAGGGTCACAGTGAGCCTCTGAGGCTAGCGAAATCTGCCAGGAAACGCAGGACCCACGGAGACAAGGACAAAGCTTTGTCACACTATGCATATTTTGCATTTTAGGTTGGAAGTCTCTCTTCCTTAAAATTCCATAATTGAATTATACAAAATAAGACAATCTTACTGAAAAGAGAATTATTTTCTGTACTTGATTTTGGTAGTAACCGGTACAGAAGTTTTCTGCTTTGAATTAAAGATATTAATAAACGTTTCAAAAACAATTTCTCATTTTTTTTACAGAAAGTTTGTAAAGGTTTCCTGTAATAATTAATGCCTTAAGCTTTAAATCCCATAGATTGTTTAAAGTCTCATCAGCTTTTAATATATATAATTTGATAATATGCATTGAGACGGATTTGCAACTCCCAACAGATCACATTCCAGTTTATTGCCACGTTTTCTACTCTGGTGCCTTTGGTAGATTGTTCATCTGTGCTGCAAGAGAGAGATGATCTCACAGAGGTAAGAATGCTTCCTAGACATAAAATATAAGCTACAAAGCACTGCTTACTCTCGTAGTACAATAGTGATCTCTCTACAAGAATACAATTTAACGGCCTTCTAGTAAAAGTGTGTTACGAAGAGTCTTAGAGGGGCATCCTGAGAACGTTGCCCTGCATAGTTAAAAACAACATACTTCCTATTAGTAATAGCTTAATATAAGAGAAATAATTTTCAAAATCTTAAATCGTTTCACTGTTTAGGTTTACTGAACTGAGCAATGAAAATTGATCCCTTTTCACTTTTCAGTTATCATACATTAGTACAATATTGCAGTGTTTGGAGATATTTTAAATCCAAACTGTATTTGATACTCAAAAAAAAAAAAAAATCATAGCCTTCTGTTAGTATTAGGCTTTATAAAACCACAGGTAGTGCCCCTTTAATGTGTTTACAATAAATCCAACAAAGTATGTAGATGACTGAAGACTTGTTAATGAGATATACCACCTCTCATTTTTAGTCCAAATCTGGCCCAACTTGCTACTGATTAAAATTAATAATTTGACCGTTTGGTAGCCTCTTGGAAAGGAGTTTGAACATTGAGTTCCCACTATTGCCACCTTCACAAA